TGTTAAGACAATTCCCGGGACTGCCCAGTAGATATTCCCCCTGACCATTTAGTTGTTTAATAACCTAGGACCCTGTGCAGCTTGGCACGTAGGCATTCAGGGCCCAAACCAATCAGTTTGAATGTACCCCCCCCCTTAGGAGTGACCTATCACCCCCTGCCCGACCTGTTCCCGCCAATGAATGGACTAATCATGTTTGAGAGTTGTTGTTCAATTTTCCCGTGCCTCATGATGATTTGCTCTGATGTATGCAAAGTCCCTGCCCTCCCTAAAAAAGTATACTTAAGCACTGCTCAACCCCTGCTCGGGGCTCTRGGCTGCTCTCCCTTCTTGAGTGAGCGCGGAGCCCCAGCATGCTGGATCTGCAATAAACCCCTTTTGCTGTTGCATGAGTCGGTCTCTTGGTGGTCTCTTCCTCCGACGTTCGCAGGACCCTTACAGTAGAACATCTTCCTAACATGCACAGGGCCCCGGTGGAACTACTATATGATCCAGCAATTCCACGACTGAGAAAATTTCCAAAGTAAATGATATCATCATTCCAAAGACATACTTGCACGCCCACATTTATTGCAGCACTATTTACAATAACAAAGCTGTGGCATCAACCAAGATATCCATCAATGATGACTGGATAAAGAAAATGGTATAAATAATATACACAACAGACTATTATTCAGTCATTAAAAAGAATGAAATCCTGTCATTTGTAGCAACTGAATGGAAGTCTAGGTCATTATATTAAGTGAAATAAGCCAGACAGAAAAGACAAATACCACATGTTCTCACTCATTTGTGGAAATGCAAGAGTTGGCTTCATTGAACAGAGGGTAAAAGTGGTCATTAGAGAATGGGAAGGGTAGGTGGAAGGGGGAAAGAAAGAAGTTAGATAAGAGGCAGCAGAATAGGTAAAGAGGAGAAATTAGTTGTGGTTTTCTGGAGCACACTAGAGTAACTATTGGTTAAAACAACCTATGATATATCTCAAAATGACTTGATGAGTACAAAATTCCCAATACATAAAATTATTAAAGTTTTTTTTAAAACATTTTTTAGTTGTAGTTGGACACAATACCTTTATTTTGTTTATTTATTTTTATGTGGTGCTGAAGATAGAACCCAGGGCCTCACACATGCTAGGCAAGTGCTCTACCGCTGAGCCACACCCTCAGCCCCAATTATTAAAGTTTGAAGAGATGTGTTAAGTACCCTGACTTGATCATTATGTATTTTTTTTAGAATGTTAATATTTATATTTTAGTTTTCAGCRGACACAACATCTTTATTTGTATGTGGTGCTGAGGATCGAACCCAGGCCGCACACATGCCAGGCGAGCGCGCTACTGCTTGAGCCACATCCCCAGCCCCTGACCATTATGTATTGCTTATATATATCAAATTGTCAGAATGTACCCCATGAAAATGTTCAAATATGGTATTTATTAAAAAAAAAAAACTTGTGGCCGTTTTAAAATTACTACAATAACTACTAAATGAGGAAGATGCTTTGAGCAATTATTATGTTCCTCCTTGAAGTATCGCCTATTGATTTTAGCATTTTTCAATATTAATTTTTAAGTAATTAGCTGGTAATTTAATTAGATCCTCCTTCCATTTGGTTGAAAACAAATCATTGGGAACCAATTGAGAAATTAAAATAACTACATATTTCAGCTGTTGTGTCAGTTGCCCTAGAGGCTCTTACACCCTGTGGCAGTGCATCACCATACTATGAGTTTGAGCACTGGAGACAGGAATGCCTTGCTGAAGAGACTGTCCAACAAGCAAACGCCACTCTTCCTGCCTGGTACCTGTGGAGAGAGGGAAGGATGAGAAAGACAAAGGCCCAAGTAGACCCTAAGATGTCTATGTTATTTGCCTCCAGGTTGATATTGAGCCACTGCTCAGAGCTGGATTTAAAATCATCTGGAGTAGTCAGCTGGTGGCACACACCTGTAATCCCAGAGTCTCTGGAGGATGAGGCAACAGGATCACAAGCTGAGAGCAGCCTCAGCAACTTGGTGAGTCCCTGTCTCAAAATAAAAAAGGGGCTTTGGGCACGGTGGAGCACACCTGTAATCCCAGCAGCTGGGGAGGCTGAGGTGGGGGTTCCGGGGTTCAAAGCCAGCCTCGGCAATATCGAAGGTGGTAGCAACATGGTGTGACCCTGTCTCTAAATAAAGTACAAAACAGGGCTGATGAATGGTATGGAAAAAAGTCCAAGGACATTTTCCCTAAGCTTTTGTCATTTAAAATCCCAGGTGGCAGCCAGAGGGAAGAAACACAAAGAACTTTCATCTGACTGGCACCTGACCCCTCACCCTAATGAGTCACCTGACCAACAATAAAATAAGCCCCAGGAAATTCCTTATCCACATTCCTGTTGCACCCTAATGAATCAATGGACCCCAATACAATGAACACCAGGAACTGTCTTCCTGTTGTACCCTAAATAAAGCCTATAAAACCTAGACCCTTGCTTCAACCTGCTGCCATTTTTTGCCCCCAAAATGACCTACACCAGTGTTCTGCCAATTGACTACACTGCTAAATACTGAATAAAGAAAAGCGTGCTGATTCAAGGTTTGCTTCCCGTCTCCTGTTGTTTGTCCTAACATTTGGGGATGTGGCTCAGTTGTTGAGTACCCCTGAGTTCAATCCCCAGTACCCCCCCAAAAAAGGGGGGCAAGAATAATAGCTCAATGGTAAAAAGCCTGTGGATTCAATCCCCAGTACCAAAAAAAAAAAAAAAAAAAAAAGTAAAGAAAGAAAAACAATCATCTCTAGTATTAGTTCACAGACTGCTGACATGTGCCTGTGTACAAGCATTCAAACATCCCCCAATTCTATTGTGAAATGCTTTCCCTTTCTTTGGAATGGGAACAGCAATTTTAGAAATTTCATCCTTGTGCTTTGCTAACGTTTGCATGCCCCCTTCAAGGAGAAGTATGCTTAAGTCAGGAGAGGCCCAAGGGAAAGTGAGGGTGTTATATTAGGTAGGAGTTCAGGGACACCAAGATGGTGGAGGCAGATATAAGAAGGATGCCACTGGATGACAAGACAGGGAGAAAAGTCATATCCTTGTTTAGAGTAAGTCCCATTACCATGACAACTCCTACCATTGACTGCTTATCACCATAACAACAACTGCCATAGGTTTGGTATTTTAAAATGACCAATGGAAGTAAATTGGGCATTATTCTAACTAGGTTTTCTAAAGTAACCAATGGTGGGGTGGACTGGACAATATTCTAATCAGGTAGCATAAAGTAACCAATGGGGGCAAATGGGGTAAAGTCTTCAATCAGGTCCATAAAGTGAAGGGACTGCCTCACAGGTCAGTATTCAAAACACCAATTTCCAGACATCCACGCCTTGAGCCTCTCTCTGACTTGGCTGAGGGCAACTTCCATTTTCACCATCAATAAATCTGTACTTTGCTTGTTACTTGTGTGCCTGCTGAATTCTTTGTTCAGGACACCAAGGATCTGGGTGGCAACTGGACACCCTGCTGGTAAGGAGAGGAGATGGGCTCAGTTTACATAAGTCACATCCAGCAGCAGAATGCTGGCATTGTAGGGGAACAGATGGGCAAGAATGCAAGGCAGGCATCTTCCTTTGGGGCACAACCTATTCCAGGAACAATCTATTCTGTTTTTGTTTTGTTTTTTGTTTTTGGTACTGAGAAATTGAACTCTGGGACACTCAACCACTGAGCCACATCCCCAGCCCTATTTTGTATTTTATTTAGAGACAAGGTCTCACTGARTTGCTTAATGCCTTGCTTTTTGCTGAGGCTGGCTTTGAACTCCCGATCCTCCTCCCTCAGCCTCTGGAGCCACTGGGATTACAGGCGTTGCCACCGTGCCTGGCTGGAGAACAACCTATTCTGGACACACTGAGAAGTCTTGGTAAAGACATTAAGACCACTTTACTATCTCCAGTGTAGACTACTAACTGGGTCTGCCTTGGAGCCTCCTTTGTACTGGGGATTGAGCCCAAGAGCATTCTACCCACTCAACCACTGAGTTCCCTCCCTAGCCCCGCCACCCCCTTTTTGAGAAAGGGTCTAGTAAAGTTCCCAAGCTGCCCTTGAACTTGCTATGCTCCTACTTCAGTCTCTTGAGTAGTTGTGATTACAGGTGTGTACCACCGTGCCCAGCAGGTCTTTTTCTGTAAAGTGAGAGGACAGTGTATCCTTTGGCAACTTTTTTAGAAAATGGGATCTATCTAAACACTGATTTCCTGAAAACTCTGGCCCCAATATTCCTAGAGGTCTATAACCTCGAGTTTGTAGACTTGACTCCGAATGCGCTTCTATTCACTCCAGTGATCTCAACTACCAGCTACTGACAATGATTTATCAAATTCTTGAGTCCGTCCCCCACCCACTCCCCGCTAAACACCAAACTTTTCTAAACGAAGACCTCTACTACAGGGCTCCCTGAGTCCGGGCCTTTGTTTTTCTCTTCTCACAATAAGCTGCTTGGAGCCTCTAGTGCACACATTACGCCTGGTCTCTCCCGCCTGGACACTACACTCACTCTCGCTTGGGCTCTGCAATTAGTCTCTATATTTCCAGCTCTAAAGGTCATCTGGAAACGTGCTCAAAGTGGCAGACCACTAGGCAGTACAACAAAGTACACCAGGCCCGGGCAGTGAGCGCTCGTCCTCACACATTAAATGGCGAGCAGCGTTTACAAGCTAGCACCTCGTCTGCATTGTGACGTCCAGTCTTAGCCACGCAGCATTCATCCCTGAAATGCAGTAAATATTATTATAAACCACACTAACGAGCCTCCTCCGCCTTCACTTGGCGCTAACAACAACAACCGCAGGGGCCGCGGCCCCGCCCGCCTGTCCTTAAAGCGGCTAGGTCTGGACTGCACAGTTCTCTGGCAAGTGGTGGGCCTACCAGTGGGCTTTACTACTTGAAGAGTGCAGAACCAGGGAGCAGCTCGCGCGATACGGCGGAAGTGTTCTCGCGAGAAGACTGGGAGGCGGCAGTGATGGCGGCGGCGGGAACCGGACCCGGCCCGGGAGCGGGTTCCGGACCTGGCCCTGTAGCGGCAGCAAATGCAATAACGGCAGAAGAGGGAGAAACGAAACCGGCGACAGCGGTAGCAGCCACTCCGGCCGGAGAGGGGACGTCTGCTGCTCCGGCGACTGAGCCTAGTTCTGGAGAGGCTGAAAGCGGGTAAGACGTCCTGCGGCCTGAGGACATAGAATTCTCTCGCAATCCCGCGGCTCCCGGGAACTCTCCTACCCGCGCTCTCAGAACTTGGACCCTGAGGCCAACGGCTCGACTTTCCCTGCCCCCTCTACGAGGTTAATCCCGCCCTTGGCTTGGCGCTTCCCTTCCGAACTCTATTTAAGGCCACGCCCCTTTGCTCACCTTTCTCGTTAGGTAAGAGCCGAGCACCTTGTCCTGTCTTTGGCTCCGTACCCCATAGGAGGCTGTTAGCTCTCTTTTCCTGCATGAGATCCTCAAATACTCCAGGAAGGAAATCACTTTGCAGTGCCCGACTGGGAAAAGTAACGGTCCTTTCGGCAGCAGAGTGGGAGAATTGCATCTCTGTGAATCTCACCTAGGACCAGCTCATCCAGACTTGTCTAATTGGGTTGTCGGAGTAGACGTCTCAGTATTCTAAGAACCTTCGTCTGTCTTGACCACATTCTTCCTAGTATCCTAATAGTAATCCTGGGCATCTAGTCCAGATCCAGTTTAGCTGGAAAAACTATAAGAGTGAATAAGTTCAGCTGTATTTTCTTTCATTTTGTAACGGGGATTGAACTCAGAGGCGCTTTAACTGAATCACATCCCCAGCCCTTTTTTGTATTTTATTTAGAGATGAGGTCTCGCAGAGTTGCTTAGCTCCTCGCTAAGTTGCTGAGGCTGGCTTTGAACTCGCGATCCTTCAGTTTCAGCCTCTAGCCGCTGGGGTTACAGGCGTGCGCCACCGCGCCCAGCTCAGCCATGTTTTGATGATTATCTTTGGGACTTGGCATTGTGAGGTTTGTTTCTCTTGAAAATTCTTACTTGAGTGCGTTCATTATCTTACAGGGATGCAAACTTGGTTGATGTAAGTGGTGGTTTGGAGACAGAATCCTCTAATGGAAAAGATACACTAGTAAGTATTTCTTTCTGGATGTTTGCGAGGCAAAATAAATTTTGTTTTGTGGTGCTGAGGGTTGAACCCAGGGCTTTGTGCTTACAACACGAGTACTGTGCCACTGGACTACATCCACTTTTAAATTTTTAAGTGAACCAAAAATGCAGTCAAGCCAACTTAATTTGATTCTAATTGTTCTGTGTTCACAGGAAGGTACTGGGGATACTTCAGAGGTGATGGATACTCAGGCAGGCTCCGTGGATGAAGAAAACGGCCGACAGTTGGGAGAGGTGGAATTGCAGTGTGGGATATGTACAAAATGGTTCACAGCAGACACCTTTGGCATAGATACTTCGTGAGTACTTTTACTCTTGTAAGAATTTATTTCTAAAGTAAATCTCAGCATGTTCAATAGTTGGATAGTTTTTAGGCAAAATAAATGCATATATTTCCTGTCTCCTAACCCCTATATAGTGAATAGGATATTGAATAAGGAATTGTTTTGATTCCCTTAGCATGTCTTCTACTTATTGAGGGCATGCCAGTGGATTTTGTCTCTTGATTTTGGGCTTACAATTTGATTGAGAAATAAAACTTTGCAGTTGGAAAGTATTATATAAGCAAATATGAGACAGTATCATTTAAGCCTTGTATTGGGTGTTTTGGATTTTTTAGAAAGAATTTGGTGTATATGTTGGATAAAGCCCATTGTCAAAAAATTGAGGAACTGGGAATGTACCTCAGTGGAAGAATGCTTGCTTAAAATGCACAGGACCTTTACTTCTAACTCATTCCTTTGGGTATCTTGTGCTGTCCCCTCAGCAAAACCTGTTTCTAGACATGCACCTCTTCTAATGAATTAAAATCATATTATGATTGATATAAAAGGGGGAGAATGAAAGGCTTCTTATTCTGGTGACTTGATCAACAGCTAGCAGGTGAGCATTACTGACTCACTGTTACTGGCTCTCAGTAAAAATTTTTTTGTTTTGTTTTGTATTTTGCTGCACTGGGGATTGAACCCAGGACCTCACATGTGCCAGGCAAGCACCCTGAGTCACTTTCCCAGCCCTCAGTAATATTTTTTATGGGCCCATATTATTGCTAATAAATTTAAATAATTCTATCTCAAAATAAGAAGGCTACATTTTTCTTTAGTTGATTCCCCTTAAATGTTCTGAAAAATACCTTCTTTTATAATTTATTGTATGCTTGACTGTTAAAAAAGTTAAAGTGAGTTTTAGAAATGCTAATGTACAATTAACATGTGAGTGGTGACCTAAGATAGTGTTTAAAAAAGAAAAATACTGAGGGATCAGGAAGAGTTGATCTTAGTTAAAAGATCACTAGGGAAAACACACTGCTCAGCAAGGCTGGCTAGTTAGAAAGGCCTCAGAGCCTAGTAATGGAAATTTACTGGAGAGATAAGTAGGAGCAAACCAAGAATGAATCAAACCACAGTTCAAAGTTCTGGTAACTTTGGAGAGACTACTTTGTACCTGAATTTGAGAAATTACACCTAAAGCCAACTACATGGGATGGATAATCTTTATGCCAGAGAGAATATAAGCTAACAGGATATGAAAAAAAAAGCTTCTCTGAAACCTAATTGTTTTTGTTTTAAAATAACTATGTATCTTTAGTGTGAAGCTTTGCCTTCCATAATTGAGTTTATCATAATGCTTAACTGAAGTTCTAGGCCTGTAATCCCAGTGACTCACGAGGCTAAGGTGGGAGGATCAGAAGTTTGAGATGGCCTGAGCAATTTAGTGAGAATCAGTCTCAAAAAATAAAAAGAGGTGGGGACATAGCTCAGTGGTAGAGTACTCTGGTTTTGGTCTTCAGTACAAAAAAAAAAAAAAAATCTTAAATTTCTTGAGTGGTATCTAGTAAATAGCACATATTTGGGAATCTTCTTTTTTTAGGGGAAACCCTAAGTTAGCTTGAGTTCAAGGTAAATGTGGCATTATGTTTCAACTTAAACCATTTTTACTAAAGGTCTTTTGTTTTGTTCCATTTACTTTGTAAGACTAAGCTTCTAGGGGCTCCCGATATAGCGAAATGGTAGAGCACTTGCATAGCATACCCAAGGCCCTAGGTTTAATTCCTGGTACTGCAAAAACAACCACCCAGCTCTCTCATGCTTTTCCAATCATCCAGTACAATTACCACTCACTTCCTTTCTTTAGTGCATCTGTTTCCCCTGTTATCTCCTATATCTCTGTCATATTCAGTCTTTCCTTCCCATTGTCCCACTGTAATCTCCAAAACCAACATCTCTACCACATTCAGTCTTTCTCCTCCCACTGCCTTCTTATTCTCTGCCTTCAAAGAGGCGGGCCTTCTGCCAGCAAACTCAGCTTTTAGGAATTTTTTTTTTTTTTTTTGTACCTGGGATTAAACCCAGGTGCCCTCAACCACTGAGCCACATCCCCAGCCCTTTTTTATATTTTATTTAGAAACTGGGTCTCACTGAGTTGCTTAGTGCCTCCCTAAAATGCTGAGGTTGGCTTTGAGTTCTGGGTCCTCCTGCCTTAGCCTCCAGAGCTGCTGGGATTATGTGTGTGCATTTACATGGGATTATAGGTGTGGTATCACCTGGCAAGTTTTGGTTTATTTCACTTAACATAACATTTTCCTCAAGTTCCATCTGTTTTTCTGCAAATGATCTAGTTTCTCTCTCTCTCTCTCTCTCTTTCTTTCTTTCTTTCTTTCTTTCTTTCTTTCTTTCTTTCTTTCTTTCTTTCTTCTTTCTCCTTCCTTCCTTCCTTCCTTCCTTTCTTTTTTAATGTTTAAAATTTTGGGTACTAGTGATTGAATCCAGGGGCACTTGCCCACTGAGACACATGCTCAGTCCTTTTTAATTTTTTGAGAAAAGGTCTCAACTAAATTGCTAAAGCTGGTTTTGAATTTACAATCCTCCTGCCTCAGCTGCCAGAGCCACTGGGATGACAGGCATGTATCAACCATGCCCAGCAATTTAGTTTTTATTTATGGCTGAATAAAGCTCCATTATATACACATACCACATTTTCTTTTTCCATTATCCTTTGATGGACACCTAGGCTGGTGCCAGAGTTTTGTTTTTGAGAATTGCTCGTGCCTTTTTTTTTTTTTTTTTTTAAATCATATCCTGGACACATCCTGTCCTAAACAGACTTCTTTATGCCACTTTGCCAACTCCTCCTAACTTGAATTTCCTCATCCCTGCCTGTAGTTCATCTGTCCAAAAATCACTCATCTTTTCAAATTCAGATCTTAAACCGTCCTTGACAAATTTTTCTAATTCCTAAACCTGAGTTTACTACTTGGGTCCTTCGAACTCTTATGGACTAATATTATCATTTGTAGAATTCATCTGGTAATTAAGCAGATGTTTTGTGATTATTGTCTGCCTGAATAATCTTTTTATAATTCTGTCTGCCCTTTCCAGTGATGTTATTGACACTTTAAAGAACTATGTCTTAGACTACTTTGTCTTCTGCAGCTGGTCTGGTGAACTGTTTATGTGCTCAAAAAAAGATATCTAACATGGACAAGGTGCCAGTTAGAACTTTTAGGTGCTGCATTGTCCACTGTGGTAGATAATGTTTTATTTATTTTTCTATGAAGAAGAATCCTGATATTTGTAGAAAATACAATCCTCATTTCTTTGTCGATTATTACTTTGCATTTTTTTTTTTTATTGCTATTTGTTTGTTGGGACTGGGGATGTAACCCAGGGACACTTTATCACTGAGGTACTTCCCCAGTCCTTTTTATATTTTTTAAATTTTGAGGCAGGATCTTGCTAAGTGGCTGAGGCTGGCCCTGAACTTTTAATCTTTCTGCTCAGCCTTCCAAGTTCTGGGATTACAATTGTGTATCACCTCACCTGGCCATTTTACATTTTTAAGAGCAATTAATATATTAATATTTTTTAAGAGAGAGAGAGATAGAGAGAGRGAGAATTTTAATATTATTTTATTTTTTTAGTTTTTGGCAGACACAATATCTTTGTTTGTATGTGGTGCTGAGGATCGAACCCGGGCCACACGCATGCCAGGCGAGCGCGCTACCGCTTGAGCCACATCCCCAGCCCTATATTAATATTTTTATATAACTGCACCAAGGAGAAAGAATTCATATTGATTTACGTATCATAAAGAAATGTGTGTTCAGAAGTTCACTGATTTGTATAATTTGGCTAATCCACAGATCCTGTCTCCCTTTCATGACCAACTACAGTTTCCATTGCAACGTGTGCCATCATAGTGGAAATACTTATTTCCTCCGGAAGCAAGCAAGTAAGAACAACTCTGGAGTATTTCAAAATGATTGTTCACTGTAAAAGAAAAGGGATCTGGGCTTAGCAGACTCAGAAGACCTTTACATCATAGCTGGTAGAATCCAGTTGCGGTATAGGTCTGAATAATTGCTGTCACCCATTTTAGATCAAATAATAACTCTGCTTTTTAAAGCTGCTCTAACTCTAATTGTATCTTGTGAACCATTTTGTTGAGTATTCCCTTGGTGACAGAACTGTAATTTTATAGATAGCTTTTTTTCCTTTTTGTTTTTTATAGATTTAAAGGAAATGTGCCTTAGTGCTTTGGCCAACCTAACATGGCAGTCTCGAACACAGGATGAACATCCAAAAACAATGTTCTCCAAAGATAAGGTAGAAATGGATTAACATAATTGCAATTATGCCATAGACTCAGATGGGACTTCTAACACTCTTTAACAACAAGTACTTTCTAGCCAGTTTTATTTTATATCATTTACTAATTTCCTAGTATATGCTACTTGGCTTGACTATTAGTATTGTGAATACTTAAAAACTTTTGGTTGGTTACAGAAACAAACAGCTGTCTAATAATCATGTCTGAGGTAAATCTTCTCGGCCTAATTTGGCTTTTGTGGGGATTTTTGGTACTGGAGATTGAACTCGGGGACATTAACCTTTGTTAATATTTTGCCACATTGCTTTTTCTCTCCATATCTATATTTTCCCCCTAAGCTATATGAGGCAAAATTATAGCTATTATGCTTAACCCAGTATTCCGTTGTAAAAGTATAATTTAGTGATCATAGTAAAAAAATAATAATGTTGATGATGCAGTAATATTATGTAATCTTATTCATGTTTCTCAACATTATTGTTTTCTTAATATTCCTCTTTGTTTCCTCTCTCCAGGGATCTCACCTTCCATTTAGTTATAATTATTTTTTATCTTTAATCTAAGAATAGATCCTTTACCAGTTTATTTAATTTTTGACAGACAATGGGGAGGTGTCTGCTCTGACATTTAAAATTTTGAAGGGTCTAGATAATTATTTGGTATGATATTCCTCAGTCTACATTTATCTGATATTTCCTCATGGTTGGCTTCAGGTTATTATTATTATTATTWTTTTTTTTGGTACCAGGGATTGAACTCAGGAGCACTCAACCACTGAGCCACAACCCCAGCCCAATTTTGTRTTTTTAATAATGACAGTGTTTCACTGAGTTGTTTAGCACCTTGCTTTTGCTGAGGCTGGCTTTGAACTCACAATCCTCCTGTCTCAGCCTCCTGAGCTGCTAGGATTATTGACGTGTGCCACCAGGCCCACCAGGTTAAATATTTTAGACCAGAATGTTACAGAGGAAATGTGTTTTTCAGTATATCAAATCAGGAGGTGATTATGTGAATGTCTCTATATTATTGTTGCTTAATATCCTTCACAGTTTCCTCTATCCAGGATCCAATTAAGATCACACCTTGGGGCTGGGGATATGGCTCAAGTAGTACTCACCTGGCATGTGTGAGGCACTGGGTTGGATCCTCAGCACCACATAAAAATAAAATAAAGCTATTGTGTCCACCTAAAGCTAAAAAATAAATTAAAAAATAAATAAATATTTATTTGTAATATATTTGTCTTTTATCTAAAACAAGTTCTTTACCCATTTATTTTACTTTTGATGAACAATGAAAAGTATCTACTTTGACATTTAAAATTTTGAAGCATCTAGACAATTGTTTGTGGTGATGCTCGTGTAAACAAATATAGTGATCATAGTAAAAAAAAAGATATATATATCATATRTAACCATGTTGCCAGTTATATAGAAGTATAGCACAGTTATGTACAGTACATAATACTTGATAATAAATCACTGTTACTGATTTATGTATTATAGTTTTTATCATAATTTATCTTAATTCATTGATTTATTATGACACTGAGGATTGAACCCAGGGGTGCATCCCCAACCCTTTTTGAGATAAGGTTTTGCTACATTGTCAAGTTTGGCCTTGAACTTGCAATCCTCTTTGCTCAGCTTTCCGAGTAGCTGAGATTATAGCCACCATGCCCAGATTTTATCATTATTTTAGAGTATACCTCTACTTTGTGATGGAGATGTAGCTCAAGTAGWGAGTGCTTGCCTAGCATGCACAAAGTCCTGGGTTTAATCCCTAGTACTGCCCCCAGCCTCCTCAAAAAGTGGATTGTAAAACAGTATGTTGTGTTAAACTGACAGCAGCCTCATGCTTCTGATGCCTGCCCTAGCCCATTAATTGCATCATTTTCTCTTATGCTTGACTTAATCTTATATTGTTTTGTTCATGGCACAGTTGTTAGGAACAATAACACAGGACTGTATTGTACTCTGTTATTAGATTTCTTATACATTATCCCAGCTTTATCACACTGACTACTGAAACTTTTTGACATATCCCCATCAGATTGGTTGGTCGGTTGGTTGGTTTGTTTGTTTCTTTTTCTTTCTACAAGGGATTGAACCCAGGGGTACTTAACAGTACCAGACCTTTTTTTTTTTTTTTTTAATTTTGTGATAGTCAAGCTAAATTGTTGAGGGCGGCTTTGAACTTGTGATCCTCCAGCCTCATCCTCCCAGGCCACTGGGATTATAGGTGCTAAGGATTGAACCCAGTGCCTCACACATGCTAGGCAAGTGCTCTACCACTGAGCCTCAAACCCAGCCCCTCCTAATCAACTTTTGAACTCTTACATTTGGGAGCAATATATATACTATTTCAGGCTTCCCTTGGACTTTCTCTGATTCAGCCTTTGAAGATATGTTTTCATGGTGTTAGCTGGTAGTGTGAGACTTTGAAGGTACTCTAATATGGGGAAAATTTGGTAGCAGATTAAGGTCAGTTGTTGTTTGGCGCCACATAAGTAAGATCACATTTAGCAACTGAGAAAATCAAATCTAGAACTGGGTGTGATTGTGCATTCCTGTAACCCAGAGACTCTGGGGACTGAAGCAAGAGGATTGCAAGTTCAAGGCTAGCCTTGACAATTTAGCAAGACCCTAAGCAACTTGGTGAGACCCTGTCTCAATAAAAAATAAGAGAGGCTGGAGATGTAGTTCAGTGATGGATCACCTGATCCATCTTGTAATTGTAATTGAACTGAGTTCAATCATTAGTACCACAAAGAATAAGAGAATCAGATCTTTATACTGTACTTTTACTAGGGATGGAAAGGAGGGAGGCCTGATTGGTGTGAAGTTTCTGAAATTTAAAATTTTATTTGGTGACTTTAGATGGTGGGGGATGTGAAAGAAGAGACAAGGATATCTTTAGGTTGTCAAAAATTTTTTTCTGAGTTATCTATGATAGGTATTAAGAGCAAAGATAGATTCTGCTTTGTATATTTGTGAGGTAATATACAGAGTTGCATATTTTAGTTCCAAAAAGTTTTGATGTCCAGAAGATGTCTCAAGTAAGTAGAAGAAATAGGAGCTCAAGCTGGGTGGGAGGGTGCACACTTATAATCCCAGTGACTCGGGAGGCTGAGATAGTAGAATTATGAGTTCAAAGTCAGCCTCAGCAATTTAGCAAGGTTCTGAGCAACTTGGGGAGACCCTATCTCAAAATATAAAAGGGGCTGGGGGGCTGGGGATGTGGCTCAAGCGGTAGCGCGCTCGCCTGGCATGCGTGCGGCCCAGGTTCAATCCTCAGCACCATATACCAACAAAGATGTTGTGTCCGCTGAGAACTAAAAAATAAATATTAAAAATTCTCTCTCTCTCTCTCTCTCTCTCTCTCTCCCCTCTCTCACTCTCTCTTTAAAAAAAAAAAAAATTAAAAAAAAAAAAGGGGCTGGGGATGTGGCTCAATGGTTAAGCACCCCTGGGCTCAATCCCAGTGCCAAATAGAGCTCAGGAGACAATAATTTGGGAGGCATTTTCCTTTTGATAATCAAGATAATATGACAGAATTTTCCCCTCCAACTGGATTGTAAGCCTTAATAACTAAGATTTGTGTATACTTGTTTGAAATTTCATAATCTATACCTTGTTTCCAAGCAATTAAATATTTATTTGCTGATTAAAAAGTTGAACATGAATGTTTCTTTTGATTCTAAGAAGGTCTTGAAAATGCTGTTTTCTCTGTTTTGTGAGTAAAACTTTGAAAGCAATTATAAAAGTCTTAATATATTTTATTTTAAAAATTAGGATATTATACCATTTATTGATAAATATTGGGAGTGCATGACAACCAGACAGAGACCTGGGAAAATGACTTGGCCAAATAACATTGTCAAAACAATGGTAAGTAGACTAAAGTTGATTAGACTTGACATTTAGAAAACCACTGTTCTTTGTAACAAATTCTGTTTAGTCTCACTGTGAAATAATGTGAGTAATTTTATATTAAATTTTTGAAATTATGAGATGCAGGTAATTGTAAATGTTAGTAATTTTTTCATGTAAACTTTGTGAGTTGCCTGTTTTGTCTTAAGTGAATATCATTCATATCGACAATAGTTTCATATACTGAGACCTTTTGTTCACTGTATTTTTATAAATAATTTTATATTAAAATCGGAGACCATTTTTGTTCTTTGATTTGAAACAAAACAAAAAACTTTGTTCTAAACATTGTCCTTAGAATTAAAGAGAACTCCTGGGGAGAAATCAGTAGCAAGTAGCAAGCTGTTGATAGTGCTTATCCCTGGGGAGTGGAAGGATAGGTGAGGCAGAGGGAAGATTGGCTCTCTTTAAGTTTCTCTTTTGTTTGAATTTTTTGATGGTCATGTATTTTCTAATGAGAGGGAAAAACAATATTATCTTTTGGAACTATACCTATTTTCTTTTGGAGTTGGTGATTGGTCACCTCTGCCATACTTTAAATATAAAGTTTCCATTGATAATACTACTGTCCTGTTTTCTTTTAGAGTAAAGAAAGAGATGTATTCTTGGTGAAAGAACACCCTGATCCAGGAAGTAAAGACCCGGAAGAAGATTACCCCAAATTTGGACTTTTGGATCAGGTACATTAATATGCTTCTTGGGGCTGGGGAAGTGGCTCAGCAATAGAGCACTTGACTCTCACGAATGAGACCCTGGGTTCATCCTCAGCACCACATAAAAATAAATAAACAAAATGAAGATATTGTGCCCATGTATAACTAAAAAATATTTTAAAAAATATGCTTCTTATTCTCTTTTTAATTTTAAGCCACATAGGTAGGGAATCAGATTTTATTTATTTATTTGCCACATAACATTGCTAGTATGTGCCTATAACACGTGGACTCCAAATAAATGGGATTTTGTGTGTGTGTATGTGTGGTACTAGGGATTGAACTCAGGAGTGCTCTACTACAGAACTATAAACACCACCCTTTTTGTTTTCTTTCTTTCTTTTTTTTTTCCTGGGAGTACCAGGAATTGAACTCAGGGGCACTCAACAACTGAGCCACATCTCCAGCCCTATTTTGTATTTTATTTAGAGATAGGATGTAACTGAGTTGCTCGCTAAATTACTGAGGCTGGCTTTGAACTCCTGATCCTCCTGCCTCAGCCTCCCAAGTTTTGGGGATTACTGGCATGCGCCACTATTTCCAGCCAAATAAACTTTGTTGATACATCTTTTTCTTTTTTTGGTACCGGGGATTGAACTCAGAGGCACTCAACAACAACTGAGCCACATCCCCAGCCTTCTTTTGTATATTATTTTGAGACAGGGTCTCACTGAGTTGCTTAGCACTGTGCCCATTGCTGCTCAGCCTCCTGAGCTACTGGGATTACAGGCATGTGCCATCACATGCAGCATCATTTTTCTTTTTTAATGTTTTGATTTCTTCACATGTATTGCATAAATGCATGGTTCCAAATTATTCTGATCTTCCTGCTATCTGAGATTTTGCTCTTGAAAACAATGCTGTAAAGAAAAAATTATTGTGAAAAAGAATTTATATTGTTTGTTTAGCATAGCAGTAAAAAGAGAATTTTAACTCTTTGTTCATAAGTAAGTCAGATCTTTGGGCTGTACTTTCAAGTGTCTGATTTGAAGTGGGATTTTGCTATGTAGTCCAGGTTGGCCTGGCACTCATGGGCCCAGGTAATCCTTCTACCTCAATTTTCTTAGTAGCTGTAACTAAAGACTTATTTGCTATCTTTGAAAGTTTGAGTTTTCACATAAATTCAAGTTTTGTCTCTTGTAAAATGAGATCTGAGCATACTAGGCCTGATTTCAATCTGAGTCAGTCGGAGGCTTTCCAATTTGCCATGTACCCTCTACCTCTACTCCAGTTGATTGGTTAATTGCCATTCATCACCATTCCTTTTTTTTTTTTTCTTTTTTTTTTTTTTGCGGGGTGAGGGGGTGAACCCAGGGGTGCTTTAGTACTGAGCTATATCTCTAGTCCTTTTTTATTTTTCATTTTGTGACAGGATCTCAATAAACTGCTGAGGCTGCCCTCAAACTTGACAATCCTCCTGCCCCATCTTCCCAAGTTGCTGGAATTACAGGCATGTGTGCCACCATGCCTGGCCTCTCCTTTTTCTTTTTATTCTCTTATTTATTTATTTATTTATTTATTTATTTTTAGTATTTGGCGGACACAACGTCTTTGTTKGTATGTGGTGCTGAGGATCGAACCCGGGCCGCACGCATGCCAGGCGAGCGCGCTACCGCTTGAGCCACATCCCCAGCCCCTCTTTTTATTCTCTTTTTGTTCTGGAAATTGAACCCAGAGTCTTACATATGCTAGACAGGTGCTCTACTACTGAATGTAGCCTCCTTTTTAAATTTAGATATTTTTCCTTTCAGGATCTTAGTAACATTGGTCCTGCTTATGACAACCAGAAACAAAGTAGTACTGTGTCTACCAGTGGGAATCTAAATGGTAAGTGTTTAAATGTCTTACTGTTGAAATATTTTTAAGCTGTTGAATTTACATGTGTCTAGAGTTGGGCATTCTTTGGGTTTTCTCTTAACCTGTGTATTTACTAAGACCCTTAAAATCTAAAACTCAATTTTTAGGAGCTAGACAAGAATTTTGCAAATGGTAATAGAGGAGAACTTTTTTCAATTTACCTCTGTTTGATCTTATGTGAAGCAAATTTAGTATATAACAAAGTGCAATTTAAAGGTCAGATTTACTGTATTTTAGTAGACTTCCCATCTGTATCTTCATAACTAACACTTAATTTAGAAGGATTCAGTTGCTCTCCACCCTTTTTTCTGCAATTTAACTATTACTTAACAAGCTTCCTGTGTCAGTCTTCTAATTTTTCTTGCCTGAAACATGAACATATTCATATATCAATGCTACTGTATGGATCACCTGCTTCAGCATGGTTTTTTTGTTTGGTAACCCATCTAATGGGAAATGCTGTTTATTACTAATGGTATTAAGTGAGAATTAGGGTGGCTGGAAGGTAGCTAGACTATTCTCTGACACTTGGTGTCATAACTTGTCTTCTGGAATGGGAAATCTTAAATATCTAGTCCTTTCTGCAATTATTAGATGGGTTGGAAATATCCAGGCATGTTGTTTATCTTTTTACACCATGTTTTCCTGTTTACTTGTTAAAATTTGACAAATACATGGTGCCACTTCTGTTCTTACAGGTGGAGCCACTTTTGGAGGTGAATTCCTCCTCTGTCTTCTTTCAGCCTCTCAGACTTAAGTATTTTGTGGTTTGGAAAATGCTTTTTGCTGAGTTGTGGTAGAAGCTAAAACTAAATAATTTTAAAGCATTGTGAAAGTGGTGGCAATAGCACTTTAATATGAAATAGTAGTTCCAGTTTAATGTTAGTAATTAAAAGCTTGTATGCTGTCATATTCTGCATAACATGGCCAGAAGTTCCCTTAGTATTACACTTTCTGTTCAGAATAGATCTAAAACTTCTTTCTTAAAATAATTGAAATGGGCTGGGTGTGATGCACACCTATAATCCCAGAGGCTCAGGAGGCTGAGGCAGGAGAATCATGAGTTCAAAGCCAGCCTCAGCAAAAGTGAGGTGCTAAGCAACTCAGTGAGACTTTGTCTCTAAATAAAATACAAAATAGGGCTGGGAATGTGGCTCAGTGGCCAAGTACCCCTGAGTTCAATCCCCAGTACCCTCACCCCCCCMAAAAAAATGGAAATGACAATGTTTTAAATTTTATTTACTTTTTTATTTTTTAGTTGTTAATGAACCTTTATTTTATTTATTTATATGTGGTGCTGAGAATCGAACCCAGTGCCTCACACATGCTAGGCAAGTACTCTGCCACTGACACCCAGCCCCAGTCCTGGAAATGACAATTTTAAAAACTTAAACCAGGTGTCATGGTGTATGTTGGTAATCCCAGCTACTTGGCAGACTGAGGCAAGAAGATCACAAGCTCAAGGCCAACCTGGGCAACAGACCCTGTCTCAAAATAAAAATTTAAAGGAAAAGGGCTAGGAGTGTAGCTCAGTGGTCCAGCACTTGCCTAGCATACATGAGGCCCTGGGTTCACTCCCCAGTACTAGGAGGAGGGGAAGAAACCGTAATGGCTTTTTTGATTGATGATAATGACATTTTAACAGTTAACATTTAACCTTTTATGAGAAATAGGAATAACATCTACTTTGTTCATAAAAGGAAATTCTGCATTAAGTCTGGTCCTGTGTATGTAGAATATGACCTACCCTCAATGTCTTGATTCTTTTTATTGCAGCAGAACTGCTGATAATTTCCAAGCTTGCCCCAAATTTACATATAGTACTCTATGCAGTTGTTTACGTAAAGGTGTTTTCCTGCAGTTCAAGGACAGTTTTTGCAAGAGGGAACAAACTAATTGAGAGGAATAATAGAACTGGACAAAAATTACAGAACTGGACAAAATTCCAAAGTACCTGTTTCAGAAATACACAAGGTAATATTCCTTGTGCCCTCAGTATAGAGCTGATTTTTTTTGTTTAAAATATATAAATGTATCAGAGCTGGTGGTGTGGCCCAGTGGTAGAGCCCTCACTAGATTTACTGTTTTTAATCCCCARTACCACCAAAACAAAACAAAACCATATGTGTGTGTGTATATATGTATAAAATAAATTATCTGTTAATATTATTTGCCCATAACATCACAAGCCAGAGTTGTTTAGCCTGAATTTTATCCATGTACTTGTGCAATCTGAAACATTGACAAATGAGTATGTAACTAAAATTGCCTACTGAATTTAAAGCCTCTGTATTGTGTCATGTACAATCATAATAATGTCTAGCAGCACTGGAGAGAAACACCTTTTTAGTACTTCTGTTTCTGTTTTCCATGTTTGATGTACTTTTGTTTTCTTAGATATTCAAGTTAAGTGCTTTAGCAAATATTGTGCTTTTATTATGTTTATGAAATATATTGTGCAGTTCAAGCAAGTGAACATTGACCTAAAGTGAGGATATTTTCATTATAGATATTTGTATTGATTTGGGAGGGGGGAGGGAAACATCCATGCAATTGTTTTCATTCTTTTTAGCCGTAGGTGCTTGGAATCTGAATGAGTGCAAATACATTTGTGTTACATCCTCAAAGTATACTAGTATTTTCAGTTTTTTAAGAAAGGAAGGTTGAAGATGTAACACAGGTATCATTAGTGCTAGGTTCATTTGAGATTACTGACAAAACCCAGTGTTCTGGGCTGTGAGACACCTCAGCAGATTGTTTCAGAAGGAGCGTGAAAGCTAATATGCTTTCAGGAAGGAAATCCTCCTGTGGTGTTACACAAAAGCACATTGGGTGTGTCAGTCCCTATCCACATTGCTACTTCCATTGCAGCTCTGTTGAAAGTGATCTTGCCTTCTATTCAAAGGGGGAATTGCAGCAGGAAGCAGTGGAAAAGGAAGAGGAGCTAAGCGCAAACAGCAGGATGGAGGGACTACAGGGACTACCAAGAAGGCCCGGAGGTGGGGAGATCACTGCCCCACCCACCACCTTTTGAATATTTGGTGCTGGCAGAGTCCACCATAGGGAACCATATTTTCCATTGCTCAAGTGTCTAATGCTGAAAACCTGTCCTTTTTTTTAAGCCTTGAATACTTTGGAAGGGCAAAATAATCCCAGACTAGGTATGCTATTTTATGAACTTGTTTCTACAGAAAGGGAGCCCAGGCAACATCTTCTGGTGATAAGCCTGGGAAATCACATTCCCTTATGGCACCTTGAGAAAGCTTGGATGGAGGAGAGGGAATGAAAACAACTAAATGCAAACTCCTTAACTTTATGCCTCTTTCCTCTCATGTCTCTTCCCTTCCCTTTGTCTAATGTTGAAGCAGTAGAATCCAGATCACTTCTTATTTAGACTGGCAATAGATAATAAGTGCTCCTATCTGAGCTTCTGTTCATTAGTTTGTAATAATAACTGAAGGAACCCACACTAAATCACTCCCCCTTTCTCCCCTAATAATATGTACTGGCCAAATTTTTGTAAACAACAAAGAGTTTATGGTTAAGAATCACCAGGAGTGGTCAGTCCCTGACAAATCACTTGCCATTCCCTATAGACTATAAGTAATGTGACCAAAACCATTTTGCCAAATAAAGCTAATCCCTTTAATTTCCCTATTTTGCCTCCAGAGGGCAGGATGGTCTGAGTTATGAAAATTAATTTTTTTTTGAGAGAGAGAATTTTTAATTTTCGGTGGACACAACATCTTTCTTTGTATGTGGTGCTAAGGATCAAACCCGGGCCACATGCATGCCAGGCGAGCGCACTACCGCTTGAGCCACATCCCCAGCCCCTGAAAATTAATTTTGATTCGTGTGTTCCAGCTGAGATCTAAAAAAATCAGAGGCCTTTATTACAGAGTAGAATGCTGTTGAACTATAGCAGTTTTACTTTCTTTCTTTTTTGATACGGTGTGTAACTATGTTGCCCAGGCTGGTGTGGAACTTTCAGTTCTCCTACCTCAGCCTCACAAGTACCTGAGATTACAGGCATGTGACATCAAATTTTATTTTTCCTTTCTACAGTGACCCTTTGTTTTCTGCTCAGCGCCTTCCCCCTCATGGCTACCCTCTGGAGCACCCCTTCAACAAAGATGGCTATCGGTATATTCTAGCTGAGCCTGATCCCCATGCTCCTGACCCTGAGAAACTCGAACTTGACTGCTGGGCAGGAAAACCTATTCCTGGAGATCTTTACAGAGCCTGCTTGTATGAACGGGTTTTGTTAGCCCTACATGATCGAGGTATGTAAGGTATTAATGATCATATAAACTCAGGGCTGCTATGAACTGCTGTCACCTGCTTTGCCCAGTCTAGGATTAAATACACATCTCAGTTTGTTACCAGTACCCTACCCCTCATCTTTAACTAGACTCAGCCAGGATGTACAGGAATAATTTCCATCTCTGTCCTTTTCTTTTTTTTTTTTTTAAATAAGTTCTAGCCTTTTTATACATCTTTTTTTTAAAAAAATTATTTTTTAACTGATTTTTAAACTTAAAGTTGCGAAAAAATGACACAGAGAATTTCTCTTTCAACTGTCTCCTAATGGTAACATTCAATCCTAGCACAGTTAATCAAAATAGGAAATTAACATTTGTAAATACTACAAATTGATCTTCCCTTATCCCAAAACCCCAAATTCTCTGAAATCTGGAACCTTTTGATTGCCAACATGAAGCTCAAAAAGTTTTGGATTTCAGGGGCTAGGGATGTAGCTCACTTGGTAGAGTGCTTACCTTGCATGCACAAGGCCCTGGGTTTAATCCCCAGCACTACCGCATACCAAAAAAAAAAAAAAAGTTTTGGATTTTAAAGGAGATACCCACTACTTAGTGCAAGTGGTGGAGGTACCCACAACTTTTTTTTTTTTTTTTTTTTTTTAAAGATAGAGAAGAGAATTTTACTTTTTTAATATTTATTTTTTAGTTCTCGGCGGAGGACACAACATCTTTGTTGGTATGTGGTGCTGGGGATCGAACCCGGGTCGCACGCACTCCAGGCGAGTGCGCTACCAGTTGAGCCACATCCCCAGCCCAAGTTTTGGATTTTAGATTTAGGATTTTTGTAGTACAGATGCTCAACCAAATAAAGTCCTTGCAAATATTCTCAAATCTGAAAATCTCCCAAATCTGAAACAATTCTGGTCCTAGGCATTTTAGATAATAAGAGATACTTAACCTAATTAACCAAATTAAAGACCTTATTTAAGTTTTACCAGTTTTTCCATTAATGTCTTTTGCTTACATTTCATGACCATGATACTTTTTATTGGTTATTTTATCAAGTGTTCCTCAATGATGGTTTGTCTGATGTTTTCTCATGATGAGACTGAGGTTATGCAATTTGAGGAAGAGTAAAGAAATTATTACTGTTCATTGCATTATCTCATGTGGTTCATGATGTTGATTTTTTATTGATTATATTGACTATGGTGATTTACTTAAGATAATTCTGTTGGCTTCTCCACTGTAAATTTACTGTCTTTCCTTTTATTATTAATAAATACCTTGGGGAAAATTTGAGACTATGCAAATATCCTATTTCTCCATAAAGTTTTCTTCACTAATTTAATACTTTTCCATGGATCTTGTCTGTAATAATTATTTCTGTGGATATCTGCCATATGATTTTCTGTTTCTTCTTTTCCTTCTTCATTTTATTTATTTAATTGGTTATATAAGCATGTACTCAGATATTTTATTGTGGGGTATAATCCAATACTTTGATTATTTTGTTGCTTACATTATTCCAGCTTAGTTTCTTCAGGTTGATTCTTGTGTTCTTTTTTTTAGTACCAGGGATTTTTTAGAACCCAGTGGTACTTAACCAGTAAGCCATATCCCCAGCCCTTTTTTATATTTTATTTAGAGATGATATTGCTGAGTTGCTTTAGGACCTCGATAAATTGCTGAGGCTGGCTCTTCTTGCCTCAACCTCTCCTGCTGGGATTATAGGCGTKAGCCACCAACATTCAGCTTCTTGTGTTCTTTAGATGAGCCACCAACATTCAGCTTCTTGTGTTCTTTAGATAAGCGTGTTTTTTTTGTTTGTGTGTTTGTTTTTAAGTACTTGCTTACTTTCTGACTTCACAATATTTTCCTGACTAATCTGTGTTTTCTATTCCCAGACCTAGTAATCACTACTTCTTCGTGGAGCCTTGTTTTCTTTTTTCTTTAAAAAAAAAAATATATATATATATATATTTTTAGTATAGGTGGACACAATACCTTTATTTTATTTTTATGTGGTGCTGAAACTCAACCCAGTGCCTCACACATGCTAGGCAAACGCACTTCCTCTGAGCCACAACCCCAGCCCAGAGCCTTGTTTTCTTTAATTGGAAAACAATGTTTACAAATTAATATCTCAGTGTTAGCTATTATCTTCATCTGTTTTATGTTGCTGTAACAAATACCTGAGCATGCTCACTGTTATTGGGTGTTGTTGCTTCTAGACACCCTCAGTGGTCAGAATTGGGAAATAATGTGTATGAATACTTATCTGCACATAACAAATGGCTGTACTGAATTTATATTGATGCTTGAAATTTCAGTCAACAGAGGAGGGTCATTCCAGCCTTTCCCCTTCAGTTGTTGGTAACTTCTTTCTCTAACAATAGAAAACTGACTTAGATGAATAGTTATAGGTAATTACCTATATTATTTCTTCTATGCATATGAATAGTTTCAGAAAATAACAAGATTAAACAGGAACATCTTGTGATGTTGGAAAGTAAGGAAGTACTTAAAAAAAAAAAAAAAAAAACTTGGCTGATGTGTTGGTACATGTTTGTAAGTCCAGCTACTAGGAAGGATAAGGCAAGAGGACCCCAAGTTCAAGGCCAACCTGGGCAACCCAACAAAACCCTTTATCAAAATAAAATTTTTAAAAGGGCTGAGACTGTAGCTCCATGAAAGAGTGCTTGCCTAGCATGCCTGAGGCCCTGGCATCAATCACCAGTAATGCAAAAAAAAAAGAGAGAGAGAGAGAGAAAGTTTTATTGATTTGCATTCCCACCAGCCATGTAGAGAAAGACTTTATTTCCTTATAACCTTGTTTTGTTTTTGTTTTTGCAGTCAGGGATTGAACCTAGGGGCACTTTACCATTGAGCTACATTTCTAGCTCTTTTTAATTTTATTTATTTGTTTGTTTTTGTTATTGAGGATGGAACCCAGGGGCACTTTACCACTGAGCTATATCCCTAGTCCTTTTATTTATTTTTTAATATATTTTAAATATATTGATGGCCCTTTATTTTATTCATTTATTTATATGTGGTGCTGAGAATCGAATTYAGTGCCTCACTCATGCAAGGCAAACACTGTACCACAGAGCCACAACCCCAGCTGCCTTTTTATTTTTATTTTGAGACAGGTTTTAGAAGTTGCTCAGGGCCTTGCTAAGTTGCTTGAGTATGGCCTTGAACTTTCTATCATCCTGCCTCAGCCTTCTGGATAGCTCAAAATAAGAGACATACACCATCACAATTGGCTGCTGCTATTTTAAAAATATCCGAAATTGTTTTAAGATAAAACGTTATATTTTTTCTTATTTTGCTAGACAAATACTCTGCCACTGAGTTACATCAAACCTTAGAAAGTTAAATCTTCCTGGGTGTGGTGACACACACCTGTAAATCCCAATGTCTCAGGAGGTTGAGGTAGGAAGATCACAAGTTTGAGACCAACCTCAGCAACTTAGAAAAGCATTAAGCAATTTAGCAAGACCTTGTCTCAAAAAATAAAAAGGGCTGGGATGTGGCTCAGGGGAAAGCATTCCTGGATTCAATTCCCAATACCTAAAAAAAGGTTAAGTTTTCTAAAGGATGGTTATTCAAATCAGGGTCCAAACACATTACAATTGGTTTGTTATATTTTAGGGGATATGCAATGTAATTTTAACCTGTTATCTTAAATATAATTATATTTAATAAAAACTAGAAGACCAAAGGCTAGGGATATGGCTCCCCACAGTTAGAKCACTTGCCTGGCATGCAAGAGGCCCTGGGTTTGATCTCCAGCCCTGTACAAAAAAAGAAGAAAAGAGACAGACAACCTAACATTTTCTTCCTTTCTCTTTTGTCTGGATCTTGTGTTGAGATTTTAGACTCCTGAACTAACATTTTGAACATCTGACCTGATTTTCCTGACTTTTATTGTCTTATCTTGAGTGTAAGGGACTATGTCTCTAAATTCCTCAAAAAATAAGTTGAAGGCTTCTGTTTTAATGTTCATCACTGCAGCTCCACAATTAAAAATCTCTGACGACCGTCTGACTGTGATTGGAGAAAAGGGCTACTCCATGGTTCGGGCTTCTCATGGAGTGCGGAAAGGTGCCTGGTACTTTGAAATCACTGTGGATGAGATGCCACCAGACACTGCTGCCAGACTGGGTTGGTCCCAGCCTCTAGGTAAGCTGGGGCCATATTGTGGACATCACAGCAGATAGACAGATTTAGACCTATCTGGCTTAGTTTTAAGACTGCTGTGTTTATCATAAAATTCAGTTTCTGAAGGGTTAGCTGATTTGCAAGTTCTGGAATACTTTTGAAAAATAGTTTATAAGCAGTTTACAGAATTGACAAATAATATAAAATAAAAAGGAGTAGAATCTTTTCCTTTTGCAAACCAGAGTTCACTTGTAGTCCTCTGATTTCCTATATATCTTTTTATTGAGACAGGTAACCTTCAAGCTCCCCTGGGTTATGATAAATTTAGTTATTCTTGGAGAAGCAAAAAAGGAACCAAATTTCACCAGTCTATTGGAAAACACTACTCTTCTGGCTATGGACAGGGGGATGTCCTAGGATTTTATATCAATCTTCCTGAAGACACAGAGACAGCCAAGTCACTGCCTGATACTTATAAGGATAAGGTGAGTTTGCCCACCTGCAATGGATTTCTGGCTTTGAGGATCTGTGTCAGTGGTGACTGTTTTCTTGTGACTGACCACTTTCATATTTTTCYTACACATTTTATTATAAGCATTTTCAGACATAATAACAAAGTTGAAAGAATTTGAGAGTCAGTACCTGAATATCATCATCTACATTCTATCAGATGTTTCTAGTTAGGGGCTGGGTTGTGGCTCAGAGATAGAACGCACTCCTACCATGCGTGAGGCACTGAATTCGATCCTTAGCACCACATAAAAATAAAATAAAGATATTAAAAATAAAATAAAGATATTGTATTTACCTATAACTAAAAAATAAATTTWAAAAAAAAGGTGTTACCAGTTAGGATGTATCTGTTCATTCTTCCACCCATCTATCCATCCAGTATTTTTTTTTTTTTTTAATAGTTGTGTATGGACAGCATGCCTTTATTTTACTGGTATGCAGTGCTGAGGATTGAACCCAGGCCACACACATACTAGGCAAGCGCTCTGATAATGAGCTACAGACCCAGCCCTGTCTATTTATTTATTTATTTATTTATCTATTTATTTATGTGTATGACAGGGAAAATTGCAAACATCAGTACACTTGCCTCTCAGTACTTCAGGATGCATATAATTACATATAAAATTTATATGAAACGAAATATACAATTTCATTGTGAACACTCATTAAGTTTTGAGTCTGACCTAAATTCCTATCAAGATTTAAACTCTTGGCTGGGTGTGGTGGTATAAACCTATAATCCCACCAATTTGGGAGGCTGAAGCAGGAAGATTGTATATTTGAGGCTGGCCTGGGCATTTTAGCAAGAACCTCTCTCGAGTAAAAAGGACTGGGGAGCTGAGATTGTGGCTCAGTGGCAGAGCGCTTGCCTCTCACATATGAGGCACTGGGTTCGATCCTCATATAAAATCCACCAAATAAAATAATTAAATTTGATCCACCACATAAAATAAATAAACAAAATAAAGATATTATGTCCATCTATAATTAAAAAAAAAAAAAGATTGGGGATGTAAGTCAATGGAAAAGCATCCCTGGGTTTAATTCTCAGTACCTGAAAATAAATCAGTTGTGGTGATGCATGCATGTAATCAGAGCAACTCAGAAGCCTGAGGAAGAAGGATCCCAAGTTTGAGGCCATTCTCATCAATTTAACTAGGTCCTATTTCAAGATAAAAAAAATCAAAAGGGCCAGAATGTGGCTCAAAGGTAAGCACCCTGGGTTCAGTCCCTAGAACCAAACAACAAAGAAAAGATATATACTCTTTTTTTTTTTTTTTTTTTAGTACCGGGGATTGAACTCCAGGGCACTGGACCACGCAGCTGTCTCCCTAGCCCTATTTTATATTTTATTTAGACACAGGGTCTCACTGAGTTGCTTAACACCTAACTTTTGCTGAGGTTGGCTTTGAACTCAAGATCCTCCTATCTCAGTCTCCCAAGCTGCTGGGATTACAGGCGTGTGCCACCACACCTGGCTGAAAAGAATATATACTCCTAACATTATTCCAGGAAGTTTTATCTTGCCCTTTCTAGTTCCCATCCCTAACCCCATAGATCCAATGAATATTTTAATTTTTTTTCTATCATACTTTAGTTTTTGCCTATTGAGTTTATGTAAATGTAGTTATGTAGTGTGTTCTTTTAATAACTTTATTTTGTTTATTTTTTAACGTGGTGCTGGGGACCAAACCTCACACATGCGAGGCAAGCCCTTTGCACTAAGCCACAACCCCAGAATTTTAGGTGGTGACATTTATTATTGTCTGTCATCTTAATTTTAGCAATTTGATGGATATATATCTTCTTGTGTCTTTTTTTTATTATTATTTTTTTAGTTGTAGGTGGATACAATACCTTTATTTTATTTTAGGTGGTGCTGAGGATTGAACCCAGTGCCTCAAGCTAGGCAAGTGCTCTACCTCTTCTTGTGCTTAAATTACCATTTCATTGATGACTAATGATATTTAGCATTTTTCTTTTGCTTCTTGGCCATTTATCTTTCATGAAGTTTCTTTTTAAATATTTTGCCTATTTTTGAATTCATTTATCTAGTCATTTGTTTGAAGTCATTTGTCAGATATTTTTTGTTTTGTATTACTAGAGGATTGAGCCCAGCACCAAGCCACGTGTCCAGCCCTTTAAGACAACGTCTCACTAAGTTTCTGAGGCTGGCTCCAAATTTGTGATCCTCTTGCCTTGACCATCTAAGTAATTGGGATTATAGGCATATCCTACTATGCCTGGCTAGATATAATATTTATTTTTAATTTTTTAAATATTTATTTTTTAATTGTAGTTGGACAAATACATTTATTTTATTTATTTTTATGTGGTGCTGAGGATCAAAGTCAGGGCCTCACATGTATTAGGCGACCATTCTACCACTGAGCCACAACCCCAGCCCTAGATGTGATATTTTAGTATTTATTTTTTTTTAGTTTTTGGCAGACACAACATCTTTGTTTGTATGTGGTGCTGAGGATCGAACCAGGGCCACACGCATGCCAGGCGAGTGCGCTACCACTTGAGCCACATCCGCAGCCCCTAGCTGTGATATTTAAAAAAATTTTTTTTACTAGTCTGTATCTTCATTTTTATACTGGTATCTGAATTTTTTGTTTTTATGAAGATTAATTTCTCAGATTTTTCTTTTATAGTTCTATTTCTTTCTGTGACCTACAAATCTTTGGATACCATCAAGTCACGAAAATATTCTCCCATATTACCCTTTGAAAACATTATGCTTTTATGTTTAGGTCACCAATCTATCTTGAGTTCATTTTTATGTATAATGTGAAAGTCAAGGTTATTTCTTTCCCCCAATAGGAATATCCAGTTATTCCAGCACCATTTGTTAATCTCTTTCCTTTCTTCATTGGATTTCTGTGGTGTGTGGGTTTTTTTAATATTTATTTTTTAGTTATAGATAGACACACAATATTTTATTTTTTATATGGTACTGAGGATCGAACCTAGTACCTCACACATGCTAGGCGACTGCTCTACCTCTGACCCACAACCCCAGCACCATTCTTTGGTGTTTTTAGTGGAAATTAACTAGAGGTTTATTTCTAGACTCTGTATTACAGTAATCTATTTATTGTATTTTATGCTGGTACTGCAGTGTCCAAATTACTATGGCTTTAGAGTAAGTCTTTAAATTTGGTAGTAGATGCCCTCTAACTTTGTTCTAAAAATGAGCAGCCCAATATATCATTTTATTAATTGCCTTACACCACTGACTCTCATCTCCCATCTTACCATCTGGAACCCTGGAAGGTATACCACCACACTAATTCCTGGTCTGTAGTTAACAGCCTCGGTGGATTCTATAGGAATCGTTAAAATTATTCACTATTTTATTTATATTATGAACATTTGATTTTAATGAATAAATAATTTGTAATATGTCTGTACAATAGAATACTATAGATCTTTTTAAAAGCAACATATGTTCTAAGGGACAAATGCTCTCTGGTGTATATTATTGAGTGTGAAAAACTCAAGAAACAAAACAAAATTTACAGTATTGTTGCATTTTATGACTTGTTTCTTTGCGTGTTTTTCTTGTGTATATTTTTATTGTTTGTATTTTTTAATTTTGGAGATACTCATATACTTTAGAGTCTCTGAAAGAGTAATACCAGGACACTGGAGTAGTGATTTTTTTTTTAGTACTCAACCACTGAACCACATCTCCAGCCCTATTTTGTATTTCATTTAGGGACAGTATCTCTCTGAGTTGCTTAGCACCTATCCACTGCTAAGGCTGGCTTAACTCCGGATTCTCCTGTCTCAGCCTCCCAAGCTGCTAGGATTACAGGCATGTGCCACCACACCCAGTTGGAGTTGTACATTTTTTGCATGGGAAACTCAAGTGAGGCATAGTGAGAGAGAGATACTCTTCATTTTATATGCTTATATAGCTTTGATTTTTGTTTTTTTTAATTATTTGGTACTAGGCATTGAACCCCCTGGGGTACTCTACCACTGAGCTATATCCCAGTCCTTTTTATTTTTTATTTTGAAACAGAGTCTTGCTAAGTTGTTGAGGCTGGTCTTGAACTTGTGATCATCCTGCCTCAGCCTCCTGAGTTGCTGGGATTATAGGTGTGCAYCACCTATATTATATTATATTCCCAATAATATACACCAGCTCGTTTATGAAGTCTTTTTATCATGCTTAATACATGTATGTGCTAAGAAATTATTAAATAAATAATGTATATATTTGGGAGTGAATAGTTAAATCAGCTATTGGAAAGAGGTGACCCAGAGGCCACCTGTGGGAGAAACAGGAAACTAGGAGCAAGAAAGTGGTCCTTAAAATGTTATAGAATAAGGAGTTCAGGCTTGGTAAAATTGTTATTTCTTTCACTGAGATTGTTGGGGAAAACAGTATAAATTAATTTAGGCTTGCTCTTTTATGGGCATTTTTGTTGTGGTGAGAATGTGTACTTAAATGTATTTGTTTCTTCACAAATTTTCTTAAGAGTGGCCTCTTTTTTTTTTTAAATTATTTTTCTGAGAAGGTTAGGAGAGAGATTTTCTTTTTTTTTCTTTTTAAAGAGAGAGGTGAGAGAGAGAGAGAGAGACAGAATTTTTAATATTTATTTTTTAGTTTTCGGCGGACACAACATCTTTGTTTGTATGTGGTGCTGAGGATCTAACCCGGGCCGCACGCATGCCAGGCGAGCGCGCTACCACATGAGCCACATCCCCAGCCCTTAGTAGTGGCCTCTTTTGAAAATATTTAACAAAAAATTGATGGATGGGAGGGGCTAGGGGTGTGGCTCAATGGTAGAGCACTTACCCAGCATGTGTGAGGCACTGGGTTCGATTCTCAGCACTGCATATAAATAAATGAATAAAATAAAGGTCCATCAACATCTAAAAAAAAATTTTTTTTTTTAAATGGATGGCTGGTATAGTAGTTCAAGTAGTTCAATGGATGAACGCATAGTAGTTCAGTATCTAGCAAAACTCAATGGCAGGGGCTGGGGATGTGGCTCAAGCGGTAGCACGCTCGCCTGGCATGCGTGCGGCCCGGGTTCGATCCTCAGCACCACATACCAACAAGGATGTTGTGTCCGCTGAGAACTAAAAAATAAATATTAAAAAAAAAATTCTCTTTCTCTCTCCTCTGTCTCTTTTTATTAAAAAAAAAAAAAACTCAATGGCAAATGTTTCTAATTTTTGTTGTAGAGCACAAGGACTTGGTGCTATTTGTGTGAGTCTGACTTTATTTTCTCCATGATGATGCATCTGATGCTTCAATGTGCCTTTTTTCCCCCCCTCGGTTTTCAAGGCCTTGATAAAGTTCAAAAGTTATTTGTATTTTGAGGAAAAAGACTTTGTGGATAAAGCAGAGAAGAGCCTAAAGCAGACACCCCACAGTGAGGTGAGTCATGGTCATAAAAACATCAGAATTATAAGGCCTTGAAGATTGAGACCTGTCCCTTAGTGATAAAAATGAAAAGATGAAGCCCAAAGGAGAATACAGGGATTTGGGGGTAACATATCTAGGCAGTAGCACAGCAAGTGCCCAATCCTGCCTATTGACTTTGTGCTCTTGCTGTGGTACCATGGTGTAGCTATTAGAGGGGTGATAGCATTCTGTCAGGAACACTCTGTAGAGAAAAGAGAAGTGTGATAAGGACAGGAAATTAAGGAAGCAAGTGAGATGTCCTTATTCTTTATCAGAGATATCATGTACAGAGGAACATGGGCTAGGGGAGGGGGAGACCTCCCTGTGGGACACAGAGGCACTACAGGCTAATGCTCTAGAACTCTCTCTGCCTCCCCTTCCTAGGTAACAGATTGGGGACATGATTACTCATAGTCCTAGCACAGTCCTGGGCCAGCCTTCAGGGCCAAAAATCAAAAGGGTAAGGGGAGCAGGTGGAAGAAAGTTCTGGGCTACAAACATTTTTCCATTAAAAATGCTGTGAAGCCACCTTGGACAGTAGTAGAAAGGGGTACAGTTCCACTTATTTTGGGGGTGGGGGTGGAGGTATATATGTGTACACACACACACACAGGAAACCATTAAGAGATCTAAGGACAATGAGATATACCTGGTGGTTAAGAGAGCATATTCAAGATAATTGTAGGAGAGAACAAAGAAAATGAATATTTGAAGACTATAACAGATTTCTAAGAGAACTTCAAATTTAAAAAAAAAAAAACTTAAAATATTTCAGAGAAATAACGACTTACATGGAAGATAGATTACTTACAGGCACAATATAATGAGGAATAGGAAGTACAACAGTTTGGTATGTGTAGCATAGGAATTCAGAAAAGTAAGAAACCTGAAGTCCACTGAAGTGTAGCACATGCGTACATTGAGTTTTAAAATATTCTATAAATATAAAATATTGTTGTTATACAAGCTATATATTATTCTTAGAATAGATTATTGGCAGTCCAGTAACAGTACTTCTTAAGTTAAGTTCTGAAGTAAAACCATGATTCTTATTTCAGATAATATTTTATAAAAACGGTGTCAATCAAGGTGTGGCTTACAAAGATATTTTTGAAGGAGTTTACTTTCCAGCCATTTCACTGTACAAGAGCTGCACGGTATGTATTATATGTTCATCCTCTGATCAGAATTTGAGGGAAGTATTTTCAATAGGTTGTGATGATAGAGTCATTGAGCTGGATGCATATAATCCCAGTTACTCAGGAGGCTGAGGAAGGAGGATCATAAATTCGAGGCCAGCCTCAGCAACTTAGTGAGGTTACAAGCAACTTAGCAAGACCCTGTCTCAAAACGAAAATAAAAAGGACTGGGGATGTAGCTTTCAGTGATAGAGCACTTCCCCAGCATATGTGAGGCCCTTGTTTCATTCCCCAGCACCAAAAAACAAAAATTAAAAAACTGTTCCAAAAACACTTGAGGTTTTAGGAAGTATTTGCTTGTTAGATAAACATCATGCAATTAGTGTGTACTTTACTTTTCCTTTGAATACACTGTGTGGGATCCTTTTTCATTGTAAAGAATACAAGTTGCCAGGCACTGTGGTCTGTAGTCCCCCCAGCTTGGGAGGCTAAGGCAAGAGGATTGTTGAGTTCAAAGCCAGCTTCAGCAATTTAGTGAGAACCCTATCTCTAAACAAAATATTAAAAGGGCAGGGCATGTCGCTTACTGGTAGAGCACTCCAGGGTTAAAACCCCAGTACTCACCCAATAAAACAAAAACCATTATACATGCATAAATCAGTTTAGAGTAGCTATTATACTTAAAAAAAAAAAAAAGATGATCCAGCATGAAGAGATTATCATTAGATCATTAGCACTAGTTTGTTTTAAAAGTTAACATGGAAATTTCTACTTTTTTTGGTTGTTTGTGGGTAGCTATCCTTGAAGAAGATAAAATAAAGAAATCTTAGGTTTTGTTTTGTTTTGTCCTAGAGATTGAATCCAGAGACACTTTACCCCTGAGCTGCATCTCTTGCCCTTTTCATTTTTTTATTTTGAGACAGAGCCTTGCCAAGTTCCTGAGAGTTGCTCAGATAAATTTGCAATCCTCCTGCCTCAGCCTCCCAGTGTCTGGGATTATGGATGTGTTCCACTGCACCCAGCTGTTTTCACCTAATTTTTTATGTAATTTGGATATTGATAACTTTTAGCAATGCTAATGCATCTCATTTGTTCCTTTAATACCCTGAGTATATACATTTAAAGTGAAAATTTTGCCATGTCATATTAACTTTCCAATATTTTATTTATATTTTCCATGCCTGATTGAATTAAATTCACTTCAGGTTTCCATTAACTTTGGACCATGTTTCAAGTATCCTCCAAAGGATCTCACTTACCACCCTGTAAGTAACAGTAAAATGTCTGCATGCATCCTCAACATCTTTATTTCTTTCTGTGGCTCTTTTAATCATCCTTTTTCTTATTTCTCCTGCAGATGAGTGACATGGGCTGGGGTGCTGTGGTAGAACACACTCTGGCTGATGTCTTATATCATGTGGAGACAGAAGTGGATGGGAGGCGCAGTCCCCCCTGGGAACCTTGACCATTCTTTTTTTCCAGACACAGACTTTGTGGGGAATAAGACCAGGGTTTTTATTTTTGTTTTCTAACTGTCAGATATTCTCCCAAAGATGCTACAGAACACAGCCTCTATTTTCAGCAAGTTAAAAGGCTGAGTAGGCTGCGGGAGACCCCTGTCCTTCAACATTCCCTGCCCACTTCCAGTGACTCTTCTTGTTTTGTGTGCCATAAACAACTTGTGACCCCAGGATCCCACAAGCTCCCTGTAAAACTGGTGCTCTTCCACATCCCTGCCAGCTGGGACTTACTACCTTACTGTTTTTTCTAAGGAGTAAATAATCTTGTCCAAGTAGCTAACTTATTTAAGACATTTCCTCCTGTGGGCATTGACTCCATCCCACTTGATTTCCATGGAGATGTTGAACCTGTTTATGAGAGGAGCTTAAATCAGTGGCTGTACATTTCAAACCAATCTAAAAGCTATTTCCTTTTGGTGTGGGTTTGGTTATTAATTTTGAAATAACTTTTTCAATACTGGGATCTCTGAAACTCCTGGGTCTCTAGAACTGTAATGTTGAAATAAACTTGCCTGCAGCTTTAACACAATTAGAACTATTCCCCAATAAAACTTGTTTCCAGGTTTGTGAGGTACTTGGCTTCCCTTCAGGTTGGGTTCCTCTCAGTGACAATGTCAGAAATGTGGGTAATATGAGGAAGGGGAGCCAGCACTGGAAGGAAGAGTTAGGTTTCTGATTTATATCTTAACCCCTCTTCTATTGCTGCTCCTATTCTCAACAGCCAAATCAAGTCTCCCCTTTGTCCTACTAAAATTACAATCTTGGAATGAACAGGAGTTTACAAGGTCTGTAATAGTCCCCCCCTCCAGCTCTTCTTTTTGAACATGATGTTGGGGGCTGGGGATATGACTCACGTGGTAGAGTGCTTGCCTCACATGCACAAGGCCCTGGGTTCAGTCCCCAGCACCATCATAAAACAAACTTTTTGAACATGATGTTGATATGTGCATGTTCTTTTCCTGCCTTATATTCATTCCTAAAAAAGTGCAGTTTTTAAACTCCTTAAAGCTAAAAGATAAGAATGAGTCTTCCTTTGGGGATCCGTGTGTGTGTGTGTGTGTGTGTGTATTTTTTTTTTTTTTTTGGTGGTGGTGGTAGTACCAGGGTTTGAATGTTTGAATGCAAGGGCACTTTATCACTGAGTTACATCCCCAGCCTTTTACATTTCTTATTTTGTGACAGAGTCTGAACTGCTAAGGCTGACCTTTAAGTTGTGATCCTCTCATTTCAGCCTCTTGAGTAGCTGGGATTACTGACATGTACCACCACAACTGACCCGTCTTTTTGAACATGTCAGTGTTGTGGCAAATGTAGTTCCCAGGATTTCCCAAAGACTGATGCATGTGAATTTCCACCTAGATTAACAAATAGAGCTGTTCACTAGGACATAGGTGATATGTTGCCACAGCATCAYCATGTATCATGACTCTTGCTTTTCTGAATATCTTTTTATTTCCCTGTTAAGAAATTCCCCAAGTTGCCAGGCACAGTGGTGCAYGCCTATGATCCTAGCAACTCCGGAGGCTGAGGAAGGAGGATGGCAAGTTCAAAGCCAGCCTTAGCAAATTGATGAGACCCTAAGCAAATTAGACTTTGTCTCAAAATAAAAAATAAAAAGGTCTGGGGATGTGGCTCAGTGGCTAAGTGTCCCTGGGTTCAATCCCTGGTTCCATAAATAAATAAATAAATAAGAAATTCCCTAAGTTTCAAATGAGTATTGATATCTTAACACAGTGACCTTGACTAAACATATTTGTCTTCTAATGAGTCACCCAGGTTTTTTGTTTTGTCCATTCTGTATCTTAACAGGAAACCTAACACAGAGTCAGTATGGATATAGGCTGGGGTCTCAGTCTATCAGATTCTATCAGTTTGGTCTTAAAAGACAGACCTGGTTATAAAGTTTTTAGATCATCAGAGTTTGAAGGACTCTAAGAAACTGAGGGTGATATTATTTAGAGGAAGCTAGAGGTAAAGTTTTTGTAATATATGACCATATATATATGGTCTTCTAAATTATAAGATTAGGTTTTTGTATATTTGACTTTCATAAATTGGAGATTATAGAAATAGTGAATTTCTTATTAATACTTCATATTCAAAAGAGTTTGTGGTGTGTGTGTGTGTGTGCATGCTTTTTTGCTTTTTTTATTTTTTTATTTTTTGGTACTGGGGTTTGAGATTGCTCGGGCACTTTACCACTGAATTACATCCCCAGCCTTTTGCATTTTTTATTTTGTGATAGAATTGTGATCCTCTCATCTCAGCCTCTTGAGTAGCTGGGATTACTGACATGTACCACCACCACTGGCCCTGTCTTCAAATTAACAGGAGTTCATTTGAAGGCTTCAATGACTACTACTCATCTGTTTTGTTTCACATAGTTCACAATCATATCAGTGACAACTTATTTTATTTAAATGTAAATTTAAGTGGGAAAATCTTTCCCTAGACATCACAAAGACATAGTTACATTGTTTGAAAGAACAAACTATAATCCATTTTAAAACCATGGTGTTTGTTGAAAGCTCCTTTCTTTACTGTCCATCTATTCTCTTGAAACCAGTGCCCATATTGTTTCAGCATATCTTTAAGCAAGTAACTGTTTTCTCTTGGTTGGTGGTGAGAGATTGTATTGTAGAAATACTCCTCTACAATTGTCCTCCCTCTCTAAAGCTCCTGGATAAACAGCAATTTCATCTATGCCAAAAATGGACTAAGAAACAATCAGAATAAATTATAATAAATATCAGTTGTTAAATTTTAATACCTCAATAAATACTAGTGTTCCCACTGCTGCTATTTTGTTTAATAAATAAATTAAATCTCTATTTCCAGATGGTGCAAGTCATCCATGCTATTAAACCTAGAATGGAAATGCTTCAGGTGGTAATGGTTGATTTTTCATTCTATTTATATGTAGTAAGATAGTCCTATTTCAGTTTTTTTGTTTGTTTTTTTGTAGATGGACACAATGCCTTTATTTAATTTATTTTTATGTGGTGCTGAGGATCAAACCCTCAAACTCAGTGCCTCACACATGCTAGGCGAACACACTACCACTGAGCTACACCCCCAACCCCTCAGTTTATAATTTCTCTCTTTGGGGCTGGGTTGTGGCTCAGTGGTAGAGTGCTTGCCTGGCATATGTGAGGCACTGGGCTTGATTCTCAGCACCACATAAAAATAAATAAAGGTCCACCAACAACTAATAAAATATTTATTAAAAAAAGTAATTTCTCTGAATCCTGGAAAAGGGAATTTTCTATCACCATGTTACCCCTTCTTCCATGAAAATTAAATTTTTATGAAAGATTCTGGTAACAAAATTATCAAATTATCTAAATCTCCTGTAGTTTCTTTCCTTTTAATGAGATTTAGTTTAATTAAAAGTCTTTGTCCTGGACTCTTATAATATCAAGTTGTAATCTACTTTTTATAGAATAGAACTTTAAAACGAGTACAGACTGAAGTTTTCATGTTAGTTGTGATTCTTTATTCTGACTGGTGCATATGAAATAAGTAGGGAAACCAGTCTCATTATTAGTTTTATATTTTTCCATTGAGGAAACTGGGAATATACTTCTGGAAGATACCTTCTGTGGTGAATTGCTTATTCCTTGGTGTATCCCTGTGCCTTGTTGGTGGAAGAGCAAAGAGCCCATGTGTAGGGCTCTGCATTGTTCACACACTCCTGCAGGGAATGGAGTTCTTGAGCCCATAAAACCAGTCCCTAATTTAGCAGCTCCCACATCAATACTGAGCAGCCAGTAGGATTCAAAGATATTTTTAGGTGTGTGTATAAGGGCCCAAGTATCTTTCTTGGGAACCTTCTTTTTTCACAGCTAGTCAGTAAATAGAGTTAGAAGTTTCTTCTTTATCATAGAGACTCATATGATTTCTAAATTTTTTTTTTTTTTTTTTTTGGTGGTGGTGGTCCTGGGCATTAAACCCATGGGCTCTCAACCACTGAGCTACATCCCCCAACCCTTTTATTTTTTATTTTGAGATAAGATCTCACTAAATTGCAGAGGCTTGCTCAAACTCCTGCCTCAGCCTCTCGAATCCCTGGGATTACAGACAAGTGTCACTGTGCCTGACTGCTTTGTAAGACTTTTACCAGTCTGAGTCGTCGTATTATACTCTTCCACCCCCCTCTGTTATTGCCAGATGAAGATCTTAAACAGACTTGCAGCAGGAATTTTCCTGATCCGTGTGCAAGCCAAGGCAGAAACACATACTGGAATAGCAGGCTGGTATTTAACAGCGGGCTTCAGAGGCAGAGTTGGACTCCAGTCGTTTGCGCAGGTGATAGGCAAAATCCATCTGGGTCTGTGATAAGACTTGGTTGATGATACTCTTTGGCAGCCACCCCTGGAGAAGATAAGAGAATTTGGTCATCTTCTGGGTGGTGTGCTATTCCAGACACCTCGCACTCTATCACACACATGGGCTGCCTGGAACTTCATCTTCCAACTCTGTCTATAGGTGCAACCTTGGAAATGACCAGGGTCAAAGGATGGACTACTTTGGTGCCTTATTGTCATCACAGTGTCAGAAGCACAGGATTTGCTGTCAAGACAGATATTAAGTTCTGTCTTCCCAACAGTTTTATTTATTTATTTATTTTTTGATACAGGGTCTTGCTAAGTTGCTTAGGACCTCACTAAGTAGCTGAGGCTGGCCTTGAACTTGCAATCCTCTTACGTCAGCCTCCTGAGTTGCTGGGATAATAGGTGTGTGTCACTATGCCCTATGCCCTGCCTAAGTTTCCTTCTCTCTAAAATGATGTTACTATACAATTGAAATTTGATAAGCGTCAGCCACTGCAGATTTTGAGATGGTAGGATAGCATATGGGCCATCACTCAAGTCCCTTCCTAAGCAACTGTACTATCAAAAATGGAAGAGGCTTCTTTCTGTTATTATATGATTGGGAAGAGCTCACTTTCCTTACTATCTCTAGCTCTGAATCAACTCCCATACCCCTCACCTTGAGGTCAATACTGAGCAGCCAGGTGAGTTTGGTCTTGGAGGGACTTCCAGCCAGCGGATGAAGCACCATGCAAGTGGGACCTTGTTCAGCTCTGGTAAATGAAAAGTCAACCAGGAGATGAATCAGTTCTTTCTTATGCTGACTATACTAGTCCCATTTCTGGAGTACCTTGTCTTTTTTTCTAATTCTCAGCAGGAAATACCCTTCTTCAAGGGTACTGACTTAACAGTTGACGTGGTTACTAACTCTTTAGAACAAGTTGGTTTAGCTGAAGCAGAACCTGGAGGCCTCCTATTGTACCCTTTGGTGGCTAGACTGCAGGGAGGTCAAGGAAAGATCGCAGGGTGGTAGTATCATTAAGAAATTCAGGTGTCTATGGTGTTCTTTGGGGTGTGAATTATTTCAATATTTTAACCTCCAGTACCTACGTACTTTAGAATACCAGCTGAACCTCAGTCTTACCCCTTGCTTTGGAAAATATTATATTAAGGTTCAGAGACTGGAAAGATCAAACAAACTGGTTAGCTGTTGACATAGGGCCAATCTTGTCTTTTTCCCTCTCTTTGAGAATCTTATAAAAGGAAATTGAGGTTGGGGACCAAGGATTAATTTCTTGGAATTGTGGGGATTCAGACCATCACATATTAAAGTGAATGCCCATCAGCCTGTGTAAGAGGGAAAGGAATTTTGAATGTGTTTGGTTTTGCAGTGCTGGGGATTTAACCCAAGGCCTTATGCTTGCCAGATGAGCACTCTACCCACTAAGCTATATCCCCAGCCAGAGGAAAGGATTTTGAGGCTACTGCTGGTATTACCTGATAACACCTTTCTGCTCAGGCATCTCCCCAAAGTGTGTGGCTATGCCAGCTAGAACACAGGTAGAGCCTCTGCGTTTGGCACAACGCACATTCACAAAGTCACGGGGCCCCACGAGGTTTCCTGCTGCTTCTGCTGCCAACTCATGGGTAATAACTGTATCTTTTCCAATCTTCTGCAAGACCTACCAATCCATAAGGGAACCAGAATCATTAATTAGCTAGAGCTGAGGCTAAGCACCACCCACAGCTTGGAAACCTTTTTTTGGCCCGCATTTCAGACTGGGCCCTATTAGGTCCCTGCCACCCATACCTGGGTTTCCCTCACCTTGATCTCCTTGACATTTGGGTTCCACTCTCCCGTTGCCTCCATGCGTTCCACAAGTTCTTCATAGAGCCTCTCCATGGGTTGGTCTACTACCACCTCCAGCCGGAACACCTTGCCTACATCTGGAACCACCTTACTCAACACTTTGTCTCCATTTGCCTGCCAGAGAAAGTAGGTAGAGGTTAGAGCCTAAGTCGCAAATTATATCAGGCAAGGAAGGGAGGGGATCAGCAAAAGGAAGTCCAAGCTAAGCGCAAGGATACCTACCTGGACTGCTATCAGGCCTGGATAAAGATATAATCCCTGGTTCCACAAACTACACAACTGCCGAAGGCTGGAACAGGTTGCCTGCTTGCCTGCCTGCAGCCCTCTTCCCTCTTCTTTTTTGGTACTGGGAACTGAACCCAGGACTGTACCACTGAGCTACACCCTCATCTGTGTTTTTGTTTTTTTTTTTTTTAAGTCGGAGTTGGACGCAATACCTTTATTTATTTTTATGTAGCACTAAGGATCAAACCCAGGGCCTTGCACGTGCTAGGCTAATGTTCTACTGTTGAGCCACACCTCAGCACCCACTCCCCCAATCCTTTTTTTTTTTTCCTTGAGACAGGGTCTTGTTAAGTTGCTTAGGGCCTCGCTAAGTTTCTGAGGCAGGCTTCAAACTTGTGATTCTCCTCCCTAGTTGCTGGAATTATAAGTATGCACCACAGTGATTAGTTGACCCCCCCACCTTTTTTTTTTTTTTTTTTTTTGAGATGGAAGTGAATGTTGGCTAGGTCCAATTGACTTCAGAAGCTCAAAGATCCTGAAAGACCTAGGAGTGGAAAAAGTCTATGGCCAGCCATATATATGCAATTTTGAGTGGGGTTTTCAGATTTTTTAGTTCAATATCTTGTTTTAGATGTTAGCTTGGTTCAGTCATTACACAATGTAAATATCAAAACAGATTAAGAAAGTTGCCCATGGTTAAATAGCAAATTATATACCTGAGATTTGAATCTCAAAATATTTAAAACCAAATTCAGTGGTCTAATGGTTCAGTCCTTACAATGACAGTGTGACTTCCCAATATTTGAATCTACCAACCCTGGTGGAAACTGTAGTGGTCAATTTTTCATTACTTAGTTAAGTATATTGTTTTCACACCAGAACGATGTGGGGCCAGAGGTCAGAGAACCCCTAGCTAAGAGTAGTGTTAAGCCTAGATCCCAGACCCCAGGTTTCTTTTTTTTTTTTTTCCTCTTGTACCAGGTGTTGAACCCAGGAATTCTTCACCACTGAGTTGCATTCCCAATCCTTCTCATTTTGAGAGCGGGTCTTGCTAAATTGCTGGGGGTCTTGCTAAGCTACTGAGGCTGGCTGCAAACTTGAAATACTCCTGCTTTGACCTCTTGAATTGCTGAGCTTATAGGCATGTACCATAGGGTCCAGCAGATCCCAGGTTTCTTTTTTTTTTTTTAAGTTAAGTGGATCTTGTATTTTGTTTATTTATTCATATACGGTGCTGAGGATCAAACCCAGGGCCTCACACATGCCAGGCAAGTGCTCTACCACTAGGCCACAACTCCATCCAGATCCCAGGTTTCTTGACTCCCAATCTATTAGCCTCTTATCTACATTATTCTGAGAACTTGAGCAAGGAGAGGTTTCACCTGAACCTTGAGTAATGGGCAGCATGTCAGCTTTTGCTGAAGATAAAGCCACCAAGGTCTCCAGTGATAGAGCCACTGGACTTTAACACAAGCCTTGTTACTGATTGGCTGCCAGTTAGGGTGCTGTGCTCAGAGAACTCCAGACAACTAGTCCAGCCCACATTATCCCTGCAAGCTCATTAACATTAAAGATTCTGGTGCTGGGTGATATGTCCTCTAATGCACAGCCAGTCCCTGCTGCATGGTTTTTCTAAATGGGTGTATATGTATTTGGAGGGTAGCTAAGAATATAAGGATAATGTTTCAAAAAATGAGTATTATGAGGAGAGAAGGTTATCTAAGGACATTCTTGGAAAAGGAGAAATCTCAAAACTACTTACTGCCCAGTAACTATTGCATGAAATAGGAAACCTGGGAGCAGTGGCCCCAGCTCGTTTCAAGGATGGTAGTGAAACAATAAGGAACTGCAAAACCACCCATACCTGCTGGGTTTCCTTCTTCCAACCCTCCTGGTTGCTGAGAATGCCCAGGGCCTTCTGCATGGCTTCCTCTCCCTGCTGGATATAGGCCAGCTCTTGGTCACTTATCTCTTCCAAACAAGAACCTGGATATACAGCCAAGGGGGGAGAGAGAATCCTTTCAGTGTCCCAGCCTCCCACCAAGTTAGCATCCTTTTGATTTCTGGATGTGCTTTTTTCTTGAAGAACCAAGACTAAAGCCAGAGGGTCCCATCTGGTGACCAGCAGGGGATCTGGTCTTGAGGAACTCCAGGATGGGAATATTCTCTCATAGTGGGAAAGGGTAGGAGGGCATCAGAGCCCCATGCACATTTTCACCTTGGGGGCCTCTTCCACTGACAGAAGCCCAGGAGCCTCAACACTTACCAAGCAGAGAACTCCGACGCCGAACTTGGTCAATCCACACATTGGGGGTAGGGCTCCCCAGTGTTCTCCTCAGTTCTTGGCCAATGGCCAGAGCAGCTTGGTGTCTCAGCCCTACAGGGAGGGAAGGAAATTGTTGCCAAGGAGCTGGAAAGCCCCTTAGGGAGGTACCATTCCACCCCGACCCTCCATTTTTCACAGACAATGAAATTGTCTTGGAGATCCGGTGACTTGATCAGAAACACAGATTCCTAGTAGAGAACTGAACTAGGGCCAGGTCTTCAATGCATAATTCAGTAATTATCCTTCAGGGCCCAGAAATCTACTTTCCATCTGGGGTAGTCAAGCGTGGCCTTGTCAAGACGGGCTGGCTATATACCAGAGCATCTGGAGAATATTTGTTTAATCAGAAAAATCCAGCTACAGGAGAATACAAGAAACCCATCCCCTGGCCAGGTGTGGTGATTCCCGCCTATAATCCTAGTGGCTCAGGAGGCTGAGACAGGAGGATCTGGAGTTCAAAGCCAGCCTCAGCAAAAAGCAAGGCACTAATGGGGCTGGGGTTGTGGCTCAGTGGTAGAGCACTCAACCTAGCATGTGTGAGGTCTTAGGTTCGCTCCTCAGCACCACATAAATAAATGTATTCTGTCCATCTACAACTAAAAAATTTAAAAAAAAAAGCAAGGCACTAAGCAACGCAGTGAGACCCTGTCTCAAAATACAAAATAGGGCTAGGGATGTGGCTCAGTGGTTGAGTGCCCCTGAGTTCAATCCCTGGTACTTGGGAAAAAAAAAAAAAACCTCATCCCTTGATATCTGATGTCTGTGTACTTACTAGCAGATAGGACCCTTTTCATGAGGATGCTGCTTTGGGTGCCACCAGATTGTGAGCCAGGTAAATCCAGTCAATTTAGTGAGGGCAGCCCCACTTCGGGCTGCAGGGCTTTTAAGCAGTTTCCAACCTAATTCAACCCAGGATAAGTTGAAAGATCTCCTCTACATAGGCTTGTGTGACCTTCCATGACAGCAGGGGATTTTTAATTTTGTTTATTTGGTTCTTCCTGGCTGTATAATGATAACAAGACTGACATGACCTCCCCCATCCCTTCTAACTTCTCTCTTTACCTCACTCTTCTGCTGTCTTACTCCCCTTTTTCTTCTCATGCCCCTTCCCTGATAGAGTCTCAGGCTTACCAACATTGCTTTCTGGAGTCAAGATTTTTTTCTGCCTCTACCACTGTGGCCAAGACTTTTCTGGTACCCTTGATATAAGCCAGAAGGAAGGCATAGTCAGGAATAGTCGAAGCTAGTTGCATAAGTGCACACCAATAATCCCCGCTGTTTGGAAGGCTGAGGCAGAAGAATTGTGAGTTTGAGGCTGGCTTGGGCAATTTAGCAAGACCTAGTTTCAATTAAAAAGTGGGGGGTGGGGTGGGGTGGTGCTGAGGATGTAGTTCAGTATACTGCTTAGCATGTTTGAGGCCCTGGCTTCAATGCCTAGTACCAGCAAGGAAAAATCAAAAGTAGTTCAAGAACAATGAGAGCCCTGGAGGGAAAACTAGAAATTACAGAATCTGGGCAGGACATCTAGTCCAATTCTTCAGGTGGGACAACAGGTCTAGAGGGGGAAGAAATTTGCCCAGGCTCACTCAGTAAGAGGCACAACTGGGATCAGAGCCTTGGTGGTCTTTTTCCCTCTCCATGCCCCATTATTTTTCTAACTAAACCAGGTTGCCTGAGCTTTTGGTAGGCTCCTTATGCCTTCCGCCCCTGGGGACTCACCCTTCATGTTGCGCATGTATCTGTAGGAGCTTCCAGCACACAGCTTGAAAGTTGCTAGTAGCATTGTTTTCTGGCAGATGTAGCAGTGCTGATGCTGCTGCCACCTCTGCTCTCAAAGGTGGCTTTTTGTTCCTCCACCTCTGGGTCCTGCAGCTGCAGCCTGGACCATTTGTTCTGTGCCTTAAATGCCTCTGGCTGAAGGCTGTGCTTCATCATCAGGAGATAAGAAAAAGCCATCACTCACTGTGCAGAGGACAGGGTCAAGGATACAGCGATTGCCTCATGCTGCTGCTCTGGTCATTGCTGGGGAGCGTTGGGGGGGAGTAGAGTACGCAAAAGGGAGTGGAGAGATTGGTGCCAGATTCAGTGGATGGAAGGGAAAACAGGTGGTTGAGATGGGGCAACTTACAACAGGACACACAGTGCTCAAAAGTTTTTAAAAGTGCTGTGAAGCCCTTCTGACTCGCAATTCAATAGGTCTGGAATTGAGGCAAAAAAATGTGCCCTGGTGATTGTAGTACAGGTATTTGGTGGACTGCCCACTGCACTTTGAGAAACACTGAGAGAGTGGACCTGGGAATCTTCCAAGAGAACAGCACAAGTCAAAGCTGCTGGAGACTAGACTCCTGTTCTCAACAGATGAGAAGTTTGAGTCCAGAGGGCGGAAATGACTTGTGCAAGGTCAAACAGCTGGCCAGCAGCAGGACTGAGAGCATAACCCAAGTCCTCTGGCCTTTGAACATCTGTACATGCTTCCTCCTGTGGCCCCCTCCTGCATTCAGCTGTTCATTTTTTTGTTTATCCATTGATAGTTCCCACCTCTGCAATCCCTATTCTGAGTTATGCTAGAGCAAGGATGACACCTTGGGCTGAGTGGGGGTTTCAGAGTGTAAGTTCCCAAAGCAGAGAGTAACCTGCACCTGGGCCACACCCTGCCCCCTTTCTCATGCTTCCCCTGAGCAGCTGAGGCTGGGCAAGCTGTGCTGTGTGGCATGGAATGTGGAATGTGCAGAAAGATGGGATGTTTGTCCCAGTTTTCATAAACATTTTTTGGGGGACTGTGATGCTAAGCAAGGACTCACGGGACCTCCAAGTTGCCTCTGCTGGGCCACACACCATCACTCAGCACAGTGAGGGAGATTCCCTCCAAGCCTGTATGCTGCTGATAAAATCTTTTCCCTTCAAGGGTGACCATAAGGGCTGCTATTAAGCCAGATTCACCTGGTAAGAATACTGTGAATAGAATACACTAGATTTGCCCCTGGCTTAGGCCCTACCTCCCTTGAGAGAGTTCTATATCCTGTCACCACTGCTTAGAGGCAGGAGGGAGCCTAAAAGCAGAAGCAGCAGCTCCAGTAGATCCACTCTCCCCATCTGCCTTACTACAGAGAATGATAAGGCAAGATCTGCCCAGATTTCAACTGTGATGAAGTGGTAGGAGAGGTCCTATGAGCGGTGGCTGGCTGGCAGCACCCACCCCATTTCTCAAGGCCCATTGCAGCCCCTCCTTCTCTGCTAAGCCTCCTTTAAGCATCCTAACCTTCAAGAATGGTTCATTCCTGTGGTGCACACCACAGGAGGGAATGACTGAGACATCATAGTTCGCTTGTTTTCTCTGTGGAATTGTTATCCCAGAGGCAGGCACCATGTCCACTTCCCCATTCAGATCCTGCCCCTGGTCCTAGCACTCAGCTCCAGGGTAGACAAAGAGTGGATTATTGCTTCTCTGTTAAGTGACCAATTGGGGAAGCAGCTAGCAGCACAGGTGCATCTGTCCTGCGTGGGTGGCAAACACTCTGCCAACTGAGCTATAGCCCCAGCCCCAAGTGCATCTTTTGATTTAGGAAACCTGCCTTGGAGGCATTGTTTCTTTGAAAAGTTTCAGGGAAGCTGTTTGTCTCCATCTTGGTCTCAGGCTGTCTGCCTTTCGAAGGAAAGATGCAGAGAGTGTGCTGGGCAGGCTGGAGGGCCAATACCCCCAGCTTCTCTCTATTCACCACTCAGTACACGTGCAGCCTCATGCACACGTTTGCCTTCCGTCAGGGGAGGTGGTGGGGAGTGGGAAGGGGGTTATGGAATAGGCCACGCAGATAATGTTCAAGGCCCTGCTGTTGCCATCCTCTGAAGAATTATGGTCATTCTGAGGAAGGAGGAGGTGGTGTGGGGAGGCTGGAGCACTGAGGCCTATAACTGTTGCTGATGTCAGAGGTTGCCATTGACTCAGGGAGGGCGGGCTGAGTGACCTCCCCCAGTGCCAAGGCCCTCTTCCTCTCTTCATCCTTTCCAAGCCAAATGACTAGTTAACTCTTGCTGTCCCTCCAAACAGTAAGATGGGGAGGGAGGCCTAGGAATCTCCTCTGCTTCTGGAAATCACTTGAATCCAGTTCTGCCTTTGGATGAGGGCAGAGCTTCCCAGGAAGCTCAGAGCAACACAGCAGATCAGAAAGGAGGACAGCCAGAGACCTGGCTTAATGTAAAGTGCCCAGGTGGAAGACACCAGGGCCAAGGGGGAGAGGCAGGGCTTTGGAACAAAAAATGGGATTCCCTCATTCAGTCAGTCAATGATCCTATATTGAACGTCCACAATGTAGCTCTACAATGAGGACCCTATGAATTGGACCTTATGATCCAGCATGAATAATTGTCCTGCAGATAAGCTGTTTGTGAAGTACCTAATTCCAGGAGGAAGGGAGAAGTACAATGGAAGGTTTCTGGGAAGAAATGACGTTTGAGTTGAGTCTGGAAAGTATGATTAATAGCCAGGTTTATGCTGTGGGTTGGAGATAGAGGGTACAAATGTGAACTTTATATGGATCTTTTTTTAATATTTATTTTTTGTTATAGGTGAACATAATATCTTTATTTTTTTATATTTTTATGTGGTGCTAAGGATTGAACCCAGTGCCTCACACATGGTAGGCGAGCACTTTACCTCTGAGCCACAACCCTAGCCCCTACATGGATCTTTAAACTCTGTGAGGGTGGGGATCATTTCCTACCAGTTTTTAAATCCCTAGTGCTTAGCATAATGCAGTTTAATTAATAGCTACTATATACATGTTTAGTAAATGTTTGAAAAGCAATGAAACTGACACTTTGTGGATTTTCAAGAGATCCTGGTATTCTTTTATTTTTAAAGGGTGGCCAGCTTGGAGATGAGAGTGAATCCTGGACTATATGCAGGCTCCATGCCTATTTAATATTAGAAGAATGGAGGGCTTCCCAAAGGAGTCACTTCGAAAAGGCAGCAGAGTTCAGGCAAATCAATAAGGAATGTTACTTCAGGCTTGAGATAATTAAGGGTTACCTGCCCCCATATAGTATATTTTCCTGCATTTCAGCTTTTACATTCCTTAATTTAAGTTGGTCTCCAGTATTTCACAGGTATCATCCTTATGTGCAGAAAGGAGGCTGCAAGTTCACTGAAAGCAGGGAATGTCCCAGTACATCCTAGGAGTCTGGCAAGACCTGGGGACTATGCAGATCATGAAAGTGAACGCTGAACACTCTTTCTGACTGAGGCACTATGTTGAGGGATGGGAGTGCTGGTGATTGAACCCAGGTCCTTGAGCATGCTCCACCACTGAGCCACACCCAGCCATGTCAGGCTCTATTCTAAGCTCTTCACACACATATATAAACTCATTTGATCCTTGCAAAAACCCAGGAAGTTGGTACTATTATTATGTTTTGGGGGGTACTGGGGATTGAACCCAGGGGCACTTTACCACTGAGCTATATAGCCCCAGCCCTTTTTTATTTTGGAGATGAGGTCTTGCTAAATTGCTTAGGGACTCACTAGGTTGCTAGGTTGGCTTTGAACTCATGAGCCTTCTACCTCAGCCTCCAAGTCACTGGGATTATAGGAATGTTGCACCACCCTTGGCTTATTACTCCTACTTTATAGATGATGAAAGCAAGGCACTGAGAGGCTATACAACTTGGCCAAGTTCAAAGAGCTAAAAGAGAAGGAACTAGGATGCAGAACCAGGCTCTAGTCTGTGCTCTTGGTTATACTGTTTAACTTTTTGAAATCATGTTTCTGTCTCTAAAAAGTAGGGCTAATAGTAGCTTCTCATGGCATATGCCTGGCTAGCATATAATGGTCTCTCAGCTAATTTTAAAATGGTGGGGGACTCACTCAACTATTAATTTATGTTAGAGTCCCCTGTTTCCCACTTCATAGACCATTTCAAGCAGATAAGCTAGACTTCAGATTTCCTTTTCCAGGGATTTTGGTAGAAGATTTCGGTCTTTTGTAATGGCCTAGACCAGAAGAGCAAACTTGTGACCTAAGAAAAATTTGAATTAGCTGCCAACATACACCACAGACACAGAAAACAGAGCAGTGCTTTTCTAGGGGCTAGAAAAGGAAGGAAGGAGTTAAGTACAGTGGGCAAGGATGTGTGAAAATATTCTCTGGATGATGATAGTGGTTACATAGCTGCAGTCAGTTAAACTTTTTTGGTGTTGGAACTATACACTAAAAAGAGTGAATTTGGGCTGGGGTTGAGGCTCAGTGGTAGAGCGCTTGCCTAGCATGTGTGAGGCACTGGGTTCGATTCTTAGCACCACATATAAATAAATGAATAAAATAAAGGCCCATCAATAGCTAAAAAAATACGAAGAGTGAATTTTACTGTATGTAAATTATAACAATAATTTTTATCCCCGACCAGGAAAAAAAGTTGGGTCTTAGAATTAGTTTCACAGACCATCTGGATTCTTGACCTTGAGATCTGCCCAGCTTACGGCTCTCTTTCTTCCACTTGGCCCCAGCTACTGGTTGCTTAGGCCTTGACACACCACTCAGTTCTCAATATTTTCAAAGCAAGAATATTTGGGGCTACTTTCCTCCCTGGTTTTGGTCAAATGGCAGCAACCACTGCTGAGTGGCTGGAGTTAGGCCTTTGGTGGTAGTGGGGGATGGTCATGGGTAAGAACAACTGTAGAAGGACTATGGGAAGAAGAGAGGCAAAATAATGAAGTGAGATGGGAGAAGAGAAAAGAAGTACTTGGTTTTATTGTTTCCCAGTAACTCTGGCAGAACCTGGGGGTTATACA